AAAGGACTACTATAATAAAGGACTCACTATAATTGCGAAAGATGGAATGATGAAAGTCATCTCTGGTGCACTTGTGGTGATGAAAGGAGTTCGGAGAAGGAATAATTTGTATTACTATCAGAGTAATAGAATTATTGGATCGACAGCAATAATTGTTTTTAGTGATGACAAAGAGTTGGAAACAACCAGATTGTGGCAAAGGTGTTTGGGACATGCAGGTGAAAAATCCTTGAAAAGATTGTCAGATCAAGGATTATTGAAAGATGTCAAAACCTACAAGTTGGATTTCTATGAGCATTGCACCAAAGGAAAGCAGCACCAAAGGGAAAAGCAGTAAGAGTAAAAATTTAGCACCGGATCATAAATACCTTAAGGGTGGTTATTTTGGACTATGTTCACTCTGATGTATGAGGACCCTCTACAACAGCTTCTTTGGGTGGCAAACATTATTATGTGACCTTTGTTGATGATTTCTCTCGAAGGGTTTGGGTGTATACTTTGAAGTCAAAAGATCAAGTACTAGGAATTTTCCTCAAATGGAAAAAATTGGTGGAAACTCAGACTAGCAGAGGCATCAAATGTCTCCGAACAGATAATGGAGGAGAATACAAAAATGGTGCTTTTGATAAAATCTGCGCAGATGAAAGCATTGTTCGACACTTCATAGTTAGAAATACACCGCAGCAGAATGGGGTGGCAGAACACATGAACCGAACGTTGCTGGAGAAAGTTCGGTGTATGTTGTCTGCTGGAGAAAGTTCGGCTGTATGTCTGTCTAATGGCCTGCGGGTTAGACAAGAAATCTTTGTGCTGAGCGCTTTGTCATATGCATGCCCATCTCATTTAACTCGATTACCATTCAACTCGCTATCTGGTGGCAAAACACCTATAGACGGTATTGGTTGTGGAGAAACCTGCTAATGATTATGATTCTTACGTGTATTCGTCCCACTGCCATATTATCATGTCTCAAGGACTCCGAAGCTGGATCCAAGCAGGCCCTTACAAGAAAGCCATTCTCATGGCGATAAGCCACACCGGTTGTTAAAGTCTATCGGCTTTATGCTGTTTACCGAACTCAAAGAAAATAATCCTTTAGCAGAGGCATGTCCACTTTTGATTGAATCTATTTCATGTTAAAAAAGGAGACAGTTTAGAGCAGTCAGCCATGGTATACTCCACAACAGGTGGAGAATACTCCAACACACAGGGGAAGTTTATAGAACATCCCAGTGGCAGGTACGTTAAACCTGTTAGAGAAGAATCCCAGTGGCAGGTACTAAACCTGTAGAAACTCCTGAGTTAGAAGAAGGTTCAGATGAAGAGGAGGTTCAACTCCAAGAACCTCCACAGCAACTTGAGTCAATTGCACTTGATAGGCCAAGAGGATCTATAAGAAAGCCTGCTCGTTTTGATGATATGGTGGCCTATGCATCTTCAATTGCAAATGATAACATTCCATCCACTTTTAATTAAGCTGTCAAAAGTTCAGATGAAGTAAAGTGGAGATAAGCTATGGAAGATGAAATGAAGTCCCATTATAAGAATCAGACATGGAATTTAGTTGATCCACCAAAGGGAAAGAAGGCAATTGGATGCAAATGGGTATATGCAAAGAAAGAAGGATTTCCTGACAGAGATAGTGTTCACTATAAGGCAAGGTTGGTAGCTTAAGGCTACGCTCAGACGGAGGGAATTGATTTCAGACGGAGGGAATTTGATATAACTGACAGTGTTTTCTCCAGCTTGTAAAACATTCTCATTACGGATTTTTGTTAGCCTTGTTAGGACAGTTTGATCTTGGAACTAGTTCAATTTGGATTGTAAAAAACTGTATTTTTACGAATGGAAGATCTGGGAACCGAGGAAGAGGAAATCTATATGACTCAGCCAGAAGGATTTAAAGTTGCTGGAAAGGAGAATATGGTATGCAAACTTAAAAAATCACTTTATGGATTGAAGCAGTCTCCAAGGCAGTGGTACAAGCAATTTGATAAGTTTATGCAAGGGCAGAAGTACACAAGAAGCAAATACGATCATTGTGTGTATTTGCGCAAGCTACAAGATGGCTCTTTTATTTATCTTCTTTTGTATGTTGATGATATGTTGATAACTTCAAAGAATAAAGAAGAAATTGAGAATCTGAAGAATCAGTTGAATCAAGAATTTCAAATGAAAGATCTGGGCGAAGCAAAAGGCATTCTCGGCATGGAGATAACCAGAGATAGAAAATTGGGGAGACTTTGTCTGAATCAGAAGCAATATCTGAGAAAGATACTAAAGCGTTTTGGTAAATCAGAAAGCAATATTCGAGAAAAGCATACTAAAGCGTCGTTTGGTATGGCATGACAACACAACCAAACCTGTTTAGCTACATGGTATGGATGACAAAACCAAACCTGTTAGTACACCTCTTGCTCCTCATTTCAAACTCAGTGCAGCTCAGTCTCCAAAAAATGATGCAGAATGGGAATATATGTTAAGAGTTCCCTATGCAAATATTGTGGGTAGCTTGATGTATGCTATTGTGTGTACAAGGCCAGACATTTCACAAGCAGTTGGAGTTGTTAGCAGGTACATGCATGATCCTGGCAAAGATCATTGGCAAGCTGTGAAATGGATTCTACGGTATCTTCTGAACACTGTGGATGTTGGATTGATTTTTGAGCAGGATAAGAATAGTGGTGAACACATAGTCAGATATTGTGATTCTGATTATGCTGGTGATTTGGATAAACATCGATCAACTACTGGTTATGTGTTTACTGTTGCAAAAGCACCAGTTAGTTGGACGTCGACTTTACAGTCAATAGTGGCTTTGTCTACAACAGAGGCAGAGTATATGGTTACAGAGGCTGTGAAGGAAGCAATTTGGCTTCAAGGATTGCTTGATGAATTAGGAAGTAGGCAAAACAACATGTTGTACATTGCGATAGCCAAAGTGCTATATAGGCAAAACAAAACATGTTGTACATTGCGATAGCCAAAGTTGCTATTCACTTGGCAAAGAACCAAGGCTTCAAGGATTGCTTGATGAATTAGGAAGTAGGCAAAACAACATGTTGTACATTGCGATAGCCAAAGTGCTATTCACTTGGCAAAGAACCAAGTTTATCATATAAGGACGAAGCATATCGACGTTCGATTTCATTTTGTTAGAGAAATTCTGGATGAACGATAGGTTCAACTTCAGAAGATTCAGACTACTGAAAATCCTGCTGATATGTTAACAAAAGTGGTGACAGGAGTTAAGTTCAAACACTGTTTGGACTTGATCAATATTGTTAAAAATTGAAGCTTGGCACTGCCAAGCACATTTGTAGACATTGCAACTTTGTGAGAGAAAGAGCAGAAGCTTGCATTGGTGGGATTATCGCCAAGGTGGAGATTGTTGGTTTAGGTGGCTTAGAATCCCACATCGGGGAAATGGAAAGGGAGTGGGAAGCCTTTTGCCTATAAAAGGAGCCTACCTCCTTAAGTTTTAATCGTCCCAACTTGTCTTTCAATACCTAGTGGGTTAGACAAGTTTCTCTCCTCTCTTAATTTGTATATTTCTTCAGTGAAATATAAATTTGGTAGTATCCAAGGACGTAGGCAAAATTGGCCGAATCTCGTTAAAATTTTGGTGTTCTCTCTTATTGATTGCTTTTGTCTTTATTTATTTAATAGCTATTGTTGGGCAAAATATTTTTTGTGGTTATTGTCTAATTAATTACTTCTAGGTAAATTCTGTCAAACGACACGAATTTAGTCCACACGAAATAGTCCGAAGGCCAAAAGTGGAGTTTAAGTTGAGACCATCCGTTTGTGGACTCGTTCCACTTATCTGAGACATTTACTTGGTGTTAGTGCTACTCCAGTACAGTAATTCACAAATTGTCATTTAATCTTGGTGGAAAAAGGCCCAGTTTTCCACAACACCCACTCAACCAATTGGAACTAAATTTTAGTCCAAGGCAAGTGGATTTTAAGTGAGATCGTTTGTGACTCTTCCACTTATCTGAGAATTTACTTGGTGTAGTTACTCAGTACAGTAATTCACAAATTGTTTTAATTTGGTGGAAAAAGCCCAGTTTCCACAACACCACTCACAATGTATAATCTCTTTAAATTAAATAGAAAATGAAACACGCTAGCTATAACCCATTAGATGGCATGGCAGGAGTAGCTATAGGATGGCTGGTTAGAGATGGCGAGGGGAGATGTGTTGATGGCCGACTGCAAAAGCTGGACAGTGTGGTGAGTGCTCTGATGGCAGAGACGACAGGGATCAAGGAAGCTCTAAGTTGGTTGAAAACACAATACCAAATGTTCCGTTGATGGTGAGTGACAGTTGTTGGTCATTCAAGCGTCAAACACAAGTCAACATTATTTTTTTTTACGTTAGTTATTACAGCTGATTGTAAAACTTTTTACGAAAGATTTCTATTTTTTATCATTTGCTTTTTTGTTAAAGAGATCTGCAAGTCAAGCAGCTCATTGGTAGCTCATACTGATGGTTTTATGTCTGATTCATAATAGATCATGAATTATCTTTCTTTTATTCATGATATAATTTTGATGGATACCGATAATAATTAAGTCATTTTTCCAATAAAAAAAATGTCGAAAATAAATGATATCGTATATAATTATAATAATATCCTTTCACATTATATATCTATAAATAAATAAGAATAAATTTAAAATTGTAAATTTATAGCTTTGAAAACAAAGGAAAAATATACCTTTAAAAAAAAAAAAAAGAAAACAAAGGAAAAATATAAATGTTTTCCTTTTATTGAGAAAAATAATAAACAAAAAAGAATAGTCCAGGCACCCACATGGCGACCTGGCCTGAAACAAATCTTCACCGTCCGAACTTCACAGCCCCAAAATCTCGAGCGTCAAATTTCAAATTCACCCCTTTCCCCCAAAAAATTCAAATTCAAATTCAAATTTCTAACCGTTACCGAGCCCACGTTTTTTGCTTTAATAGATTACATATATCATTTCTTCATTTTCTCTCCATCTCTGCTACTCAGTAGACACCATCTCTGTGTCTTTCTCTCCATATAGAAACCCTAATTTTTCCTCTCTCTAAAACACCCCAAAACAAATCCTACTCGTGTCTTCTATTTCCATTGAAATCCACACTGAAATTTTTCCCGTAACCCTAACTTTACAGAACTTTACTTTCTCTGGCTAAAATTTCCCATTCAACAATGGCAGACAGCGTAAGTGTGCCGTTAACGACCAGCAACAACGCGAACGTCGGGGCCCCTCAAAAGACTATCGAAGAAATGTACCAGAAGAAGAGCCAACTCGAGCACATCCTGCTCCGACCAGACACCTACGTCGGGTCGATCGAGAAGCACACCCAAACTCTTTGGGTCTACGAGAACGAAAAGATGGTGTACCGCAATATCACCTATGTTCCGGGTCTTTACAAGATCTTCGATGAAATCTTGGTCAATGCCGCCGATAACAAGCAGAGAGACCCCACCATGGACTCATTGAAGGTGGTAATTGATGTGGAGAACAATTTGATAAGCGTTTACAACAATGGGGATGGGGTTCCTGTGGAGATCCATAAGGAGGAGGGCGTGTATGTACCAGAGCTGATTTTCGGTCACTTGTTGACTAGTAGTAACTATGACGATACGCAAAAGAAGACCACCGGAGGAAGAAATGGTTATGGAGCCAAGCTCACAAATATTTTTTCCACGGAGTTTGTTATTGAGACAGCTGATGGAAAGCGACAAAAGAAGTATAAGCAGGTAATTGGAGTATTGTGTATGTTCGTTGTTGTAGGAATTTTTTTTAATTTATGCTATTGATACCTCATTTCAAACAACTGATTGAATTATGGTGAAGAATTTGTGAGATTTTACAATTTTTTATGCGCTGATTATCTAGTTTAGGTGTTTGGTTTGGTTGGGCTCCTTATTGCAGCTCTTAAAGAAGTTTGCTTGTTATTTATGATTGTAATCTTTGTTCAAAAATGTTAATTTAGAAAGACATGTTAATGTTTAAAGCTTCATGAGCTTGGAATGGCTTGGATCCTCACAGTTCAGGATATTTCCTTTTGTGCATTTTATGCCATACGAACTGGTTCTCAAGTTTTGGGTTTATGCTGTGACTTTTCTGTACGTAGACAAAATTGTGTATTGAAATTGATCTACATTATTTGTTTGGTTTATAAGGCTTAACTTACATATAAATTGGTCCTGCTGATTTGAAGGTTTTCTCCAACAACATGGGGAAGAAAACTGCACCGAGCATAACAAAGTGCAAGGAGGGTGAGAATTGGACTAAGGTTTCATTTAAGCCTGATTTGGTGAAATTTAACATGAATGTACTCGAAGATGATGTGGTTGCTCTTATGAGAAAGCGAGTGGTTGACATGGCTGGTTGCCTTGGAAAAACTGTGAAGGTTGAGCTGAATGGGAAGCGGGTTCCTATAAAATCATTTCAGGATTATGTTAAGTTGTACCTAGATTCTGATGCGGAATCTGGATCAGATACTCCTAAAAGGTTACTTCTATGAACTATTTGCTTAGCCCAACTACACTTTTTATATTTTTATCGGTATGTGCTCATCTGCTATTCTGATTTGATCAGCTTCTACCAAAAAGTGGGTGAGAGATGGGAATTATGCGTTAGTGTTACTGAGGGACAGTTCCAACAGGTGATTGGGACACTAATTGAACCATATTTTACTTCCATAGCTGTTTGCTTTTTCACAAATCAGTGTCCTTATATCACAGTGATTTGGTGTTATAACAGGTTAGCTTTGTTAATGCCATTGCAACAATCAAGGGTGGAACTCATGTTGATTATATAACTAATCAGATCACAAACTATCTAGTGGGTGTCGTAAATAAAAAGCACAAGAATGCCAACATCAAACCGCACAATGTGAAGAACTATTTGTGGGTTTTTGTCAATGCTCTCATTGATAACCCTGCTTTTGATTCTCAAACCAAGGAAACTCTGACTCTGCGCCAGAGTAATTTTGGGTCTAAATGTGAACTTCCTGAAGAATTTTTGAAGAAAGGTCTATTTCACTTTTTTTTAAAACTTCGTTTCATAAACACTAGATTATTATTCATTAGATATTCAACCTGATGTTTCTTTGCTAATTACATTGCAGTGGCGAAGTCTGATATTGTGGAGAATCTACTTTCATGGGCAAAATTCAAGCAGGACAAAGACCTTAAGAAATCTGATGGAACAAAGAGAGGGAGGGTTAATATTCCAAAGCTGGAGGATGCTAATGAGGCTGGAACAAAAAACTCTCACAAATGTACATTGATTTTAACAGAAGGCGATTCAGCAAAGGCTCTTGCAGTAAGTTGTGTTATACAATGTAGTTCATTCGAACTGCAATGAACTTTTTCTAATGGTTCATGATATGCACAGGTATCTGGATTAGGGGCACTACCTCAAGATGTTCGGGACTACTACGGAGTTTTCCCATTGAGAGGTAAATTACTCAATGTGCGGGAAGCCACCGCTAAACAGCTCAATGAGAATAAGGAAATTGAGAATATCAAGAAGATCCTTGGGTTACAGCAAAATAAGCAGTATGATAGTGTCAAGCCTTTGAGATATGGTCATCTTATGATAATGACTGATCAGGTTATGTTTTCTCCATATTGTTCTTAGTCTAGTTGACCTTCTTCAATGATTACAATACTTGCTGATAAGAAATGCTTACAAGAGTTCAATTTCTACAGGATTATGATGGTTCTCACATTAAAGGCCTGCTCATCAACTTCATTTATTATTTCTGGCCGTCATTACTGAAAATGCCATCTTTCTTACTCGAGTTTATAACTCCCATTGTAAAGGTTGGTAAATTTGATTAATCAGTCCATGCATCTAGGAATTTTGATTTTGAAGAATGGCTTGTAATTTTTGGTGCTCTATCTTGTACAGGCAACTCATAGCAGTGGAAATGTTCTATCCTTTTATACCATGCCTGAGTACTATGCTTGGAGGGATAGTATAATGGGAAATGCAAGTAGCTGGACAATCAAGTACTATAAGGTTTATTTTTATTAGGAGAAAAGCAATTAGGGTAGTGGTTATCATATTCTCTGCTGCCAATCATAATTTATTGTATTTGTGCGTCCGTAATGGGTTTGCTTCACAGGGGTTAGGAACTAATAATCAAAAAGAAGGCAAGGAGTACTTCAAAGACATTGAGAAGCATAAGAAGGATTTTATTTGGATGGATGACCAAGATGGAAATGCCATAGAGCTTGCGTTCAGTAAGAAGAAGATTGATGAAAGGAAGAACTGGCTTCGGCAATATCAGGTTAGAAGTCTTATTAATGTGCATTTTATTTGTTTTATATATTCCTTCTACTAGACTTCAATTGACAAATTCTTACATTCTCTTGGTCTTTTTGCAGCCTGGCACACATCTTGATCAGAAACCGAAGCTAATAAAATACAGCGAGTTCATTAACAAGGAGCTTATTTTGTTTTCAGTGGCGGATCTTCAAAGATCTATTCCTTCCATGATTGATGGCCTGAAGCCAACTCAGAGAAAGATACTTTTCAGTTGTTTCAAGAGGAATTTGGTCAAGGACATTAAAGTTTCTCAGTTTCAAGGTTATGTATCTGAGAAGTCTGCTTACCACCATGGTGATCAAAGTCTTAATGCTACAATCATTGGAATGGCACAGAATTTTGTTGGCAGTAATAACATCAACCTTCTTGCACCAAAAGGACAATTTGGTACACGTTGCATGGTAAGACAAACTGACGTCACCTTTTCTTCTAATTATTATTATGATGATAACAACAAAAGGTAATGATGCGTTATATTCGAATTTGTCCTTTCACAGGGAGGTAAAGATCATGCCAGTGCAAGGTATATTTTTACTTGTCTTTCTCCTATTACAAGGTTTCTGTTTCCCAAGGATGATGACAACCTTCTCGACTACTTAGAAGAAGATGGCCTTTCTATTGAACCCACTTGGTAAACATTCGTTTTATATTGCCAAGGAACTGAATTGATATGAAGTCGGGAAATCCATGTTGAAAAAGTTTTCTAATTCTAACATGTTTTGGTTTAGGTATGTCCCAATTATACCAACGGTTCTTGTGAATGGTTCTGAAGGAATTGGCACTGGATGGAGCACTTCTATCCCCAATTACAATCCAAGAGATATTGTTGCAAACGTGAGGCGTTTGTTGAATGGTGAAGCAATGGAACCTATGCATCCTTGGTATAGAGGGTTTAAAGGAACAATTGAAAAGGGTGCATCGAAGGAAGGTGGGGTTAGCTATACAGTAAATGGACTCATAGAAGAAGTGAATGAGACGACACTTAGGATCACTGAATTGCCGATCCGTAGGTGGACTGATGATTATAAGGAATTTTTGAGTTCTGTCATGGAAGGTGCTAGAGATGAGAAGGGAAACTTACCCAAGGATGCTTTTATCAAGGTAAATATCTATGTCTATGAAAAGGTTATTGCTTTTAGTTTTCATGACTTTAAGAATTATGTCTACGGAAGTGCCTTCTCTCATGCACTACCTTCTGATTGCAGGATTTTAAAAAGTATGGTGATGATGTATCTGTATGTTTTGAAGTCCTCTTGTCGGAGGAGAAGATGAAGGAAGTCAAGGATGAGGGTTTGCTGAAGAAATTTAGACTTACTACTACAATTAGCACAAGTAACATGCACCTATTCGATCAAAGAGGCATGATTAAGAAATATGACAGCCCTGAAGCCAGTACGTTTAGATATTGTGGAATCAGTTTTGCCTTATTATATCGTACATTTACTCTGTTACTTTACTTACCTCTGCATATTTGTTTGCAGTTCTTGAGGAATTTTTTCCCTACAGGTTTCAGTGTTATGAGAAAAGGAAGGTAAGTTCATTTTGGGCTGTAGATCACCCTGCAGTTCTGAAACTCTTTTGCTTCTTTCCATTGAAGAACAGTTTCTCACTGTAGTTAATCTTTTCACGCATGCAGAACTTAAAACTCGCACAGCTTGAAATGGAGTTGCTGATATTGGAAAATAAGGTGAGGTTTATCCTTGGCGTTGTGAAGGGCGAAATTATTGTGAACAACAGGAAGAGAGCTGATCTGCTACTGGAGCTACAACAGAAAGGCTTCGCCCCTATCCCAAAGAAAAAATCTGCTGAAGCTGTGGTAGCTGGGGCAATTGAAGATGAACCAAACGTGGGCTCGGATGAAGTAGAAGAGAACTCTGAGACTGTCACTGGCAATGGGGTGAAGGCTAGTGATTATGACTATTTACTGTCTATGTCTATTGGAACCTTGACCCTTGAGAAGGTTCAGAAGTTATGTGCTGATAGGGACAAAATCAGCGAGGACGTTGAGAATTTAAGAAAAACCACTCCAGAGGAGTTATGGTTGAAAGACCTTGAAGCTTTTGAAAAGCAACTTGACGTATGAACAGCAACGCTTATTTTAATTGTTTTTGGTTCAGTCTTTTTAATGTGGTCTCTTGGCTAATCCTATATTTTATTTTTCCTTTTATTTGGTTATGAATTCAGAAATTTGAAGCTGATGAAGAGGAGGAAAGGCAGAAGTCAACTAGTGAAATCTATGGTCAAGGTGGTTTTAAGGTTTCTAGACAAGCGCCAAAAAATCCAAGGAAGAACAATAAAACAGCCAAAAATGCAGAAGCAGCTGCTGAAACAATTGGAAAATCATCCAGTTCCATGGAAACAGGTGGATAGCTAAGTAGAATCTTTCATTTGTATATGTAGTTTTTTTTCCCCTCTTTTGGTGTTTGACAATATCATGAGAATATTTTTCTACTTGCTTTCACCAGAAAATGTCGCTGAGGTAGTGAAACCAAAAGGAAGGGGAGGTGCGAGGAAAGCTCCTGCTAAAAAGGTATGTCTTGGTTTTATATACCGTGTCATTCAACTGTTTAGTTTCTTAGAACTAAGGATTTATTTTTCTTTTTTGACAGCAAGAAAAACCGCCAACTCCTGTTTCAGAAGATGATGATGATGATGAAGTTGAATCACTGAAAGATCGACTTAAAGCGTATAGACTTGATTCTTCACCTGAACAATCCACTGGTAATCTAATTCTTCCTGAAAAAATTGCTAACGCAAATGAAATTGTCATGATGTTTTTAAGTTTATGGTTTTCTTGTTTTTACTCTTGCAGCCATGGAAACTGATGTGCCCCAAATACCTGCTAAGAAAGAACCTAGCAAAAGGGCCGCTGCCCAGAAGAAGCCTATGATTGTTTCAGAAGATTCTGACAAAGATGAAATAAACCTCGATGATAATGACTCTGATGTAGAAGTGGTAGTTAAACCCCAAGAAGCAAAAAAGAAGGGAGGGAGAAAACCAGCTGCAAATGCCAAGGCAGCTAAACCACCTGCAGGTAATAAGAAAAGAGGACCTGCCAACAAGCAGTCTCAAGGATTGGGACAGAAGCTTCTAACGGAAATGCTTCAGCCTGCAGAAAATCCAGGAATTTCACCAGAGAAGAAAGTGAGAAAAATGAGAGAATCTCCTTTCAACAAAAAGAGTGGTTCTGTTTTGGGCAGGCTTGCCAAGGATAATGAAACCACAGGAAGTGAGGAGATGTCTGGTTCTGCTTCTACATCTAGTAATGTGGAAGAAATTGTTGAGGTGCCAGCAAGAGCTAGACCAAAGAGAGCGAACCGCAGGCAAACTAAGTATGTTATAAGCGATTCTGACAGTGATGGTGATTATGACATTGAGAGTGAGCAAGAAAATTATGATGACACTGATGAAGATGAAGATTAAGACTTAAGTCTCAATTTCCTTGAAACACTGCTGTTCTTTATCAGCTTGATAATTTCAAACATGTAGTGTTTGTTAGAAACCGTTGAAATTGAAATGTACTGATTTTATTGTTGTACATTGACTAATTTTCCTGTAAATGGTACTTGAGTTTTCAAGAAATGAGAAATTTCTCCATTATGATGGCTTGAATTGAAAAAACAAAAACAATAAGATTCTACTCAAATAGACTTCCTTTGGTTTGCTGAATTAACCATTCTATGGAATATTTATTACAAATGATGTATTACATGTTTAAAAAGCATCAACTTAAAAAAATTATATTAATAACCTGAATTTATATATTTAAAACTTTTCTTTATGAATACTTATAAATAAACTTGAAAACATAAAATTGAACCACATTAAAATAATTATTTCAAATTTATTTTGTTAGTTTGGGATTAAAGCTTAATTTATCAGTCTCAACTATATCTGAAACTCTCAACCATGTCTGAACCAGCACAATTGAAATCTTTCCATAAAATGGAAACTTGATCTATCATCTCTCTTTCACATAGCTTCCAGAAAAGGGAGCTGCTCATAAAATACAAAGCGTTTTGAAATCTCTGTACAAATTCAGGTTAGAGGGCTAAAATCAAAAGATACACCTACACTTTAAAAGCTAAAGCAAATGATCGCCATAATGCTACATTACATTACAACGAACTGTTGCTTCTAAACAGTAAATTTACCACTGATCCAAAACATTTCTACCGCGCAAAAACCTAATCATCGGCTTTGAATCACATGGCAAGGTTTCGTTTTGTAGCTTCCATTTTCAACAACAAATCTTTAATATCTGCTTCCATCCTCCTCTTCATACTGAAATACTCCCGATGAGCCCTTTCCAGAGCCTGGAATTCTTCATATTTTTGTTTACGCATCTCCTTTGCCTCAACTAACCGCAACTTTGTCATTCTACTTGTATACTCTTCTTCAATTTTTTCGCTCTTTGCAAGTGCAATTCGTTTCAGTCCCTCAGCTTGCTTTCTTGCATCATCAGCACGTTCTTGAAACATTTTAGCTTCTGCTTGTTTAATCCTCACAATGCTCTCCAGTTCATCAAAAATCGGTACTTTCTGGGCACTCCTCTCTAACTCTGATTCTACAGGATGCTTATCATTCAAGCCTGTGTGAAAGCTAGGCAGTAGGCTAGTCGATCTTTCTAACTGAGGAGCTTTTTCCGTATAAACAGATTTGAGCCATGATGTATCCTGGCTAGGCCCAGCAATCCCTGCACTACTTCCGTTTCCTTGCTCCTTCCCAGAGAACACTGAAGTATTGCTGAACTTGGAAGAGTCACTTTCTGCAAAAATTAGGAAGATACGCTTAAATGATAGGAAAAAGATACAGCTATAATACCACAATAAAAATAGAAGATCTTATGATGGCAGTCAAGATTCTGAATAAGAAGCCTGGCTTCACTGAAACATGGATCAACTTACTTAAGCACCAATCCGAATTTGTAAATAAGCAAAAATTTGTAGCTCGACATCGACATGGGAATTTTTAGATCCACTAACATTTCTAGATCTGAAATAACTTCAAAGAATTCAATGTATGTTTTACATTCTACCAGAAGTGTAACATGTTCATTGAAAAATGTTCAGAATTGAAGTAGCCTTTGTCAGTTAAAGGCCAATACCCAGTTATGGCTCCATCATTAGGAGCATGAGACAGAAACAGGAAAAAAATATACCTTCAGCCCTTAAGGCTATCGCCAGCCTCCTTGTGGTTACAAGCCTAGGTTTTCACCATTGCACCAATTAATGACCCCTAAATTAAACCTTGATGACAATATAAACTTTAACCAACTAGAATTAGAACTCTAAGGGGCTAAGTATAAAGCAAGCCACAAAAATGAAGATGGGTTACAAGATATCTACTGAATTAAAGAGAATTGTCAGCTGAAACAAAAATTAGGATGTCCAATATCCAGACATTAATATCTGAATTCCTCAATAACTTCCTCTCTTGTAAAAGATTTTAATGATGAATTTTTTATTAATGCAAGTATATGTTCATAAACACTTGGAACTATTTTGGAAGATATCAACTATATCAAAAAGATAAAATACCGATAGATAACTTGAACATGCAAAAATAATGCATAATAGCTCTCAGCTTCTCACAAATCACAAAAAAACTAGACAAAATCCATGAATAATGGCAGTCAAATTCACCAGAGAAAAAATCCAACAAGTTATAATAAAGTATTAGCCAAAATACAACACTATGCTGAATAAAACGGAGTTCAACATAGAAAAGCAAAAGCGAGAGCAGACTTAAGAGAGAATATTGAAATGCGTGAAGCACGGACTATAATCACACACACTTTACACAACACACAAAAAAAGAAGAAACAGTAGAAAGTATTTACCAGTCAAGAAACTCATGATATTACTATAAACGTCAGAGAGATGAGACTTATTTGCCAATTTTTCCAGCATCAGATCAGCAATTTCATGCAGCCTCCTCCCTCTCATATCCTTGCTAGCACTAAAAATTCTCTTCACATACTCGAGCTCCTTGCAAAATGTTTCTAATTTCCATGTCTTCGCAAAGTTTTGAAAAACCTCCTTCACAAAACCAAACATCTCAGAGGGGTGATCACAAGCAACACAATGAAATTGCATCTCAGTAGTCCCTTGAGCCCCAGCAGCACTTCTTCCATTTCTAATACAAGACTCCCGCAATGCACAATCCGCATGGCACCAATGAAGACAAACGTCACACCCAACCCAACCACATGTTTGAGATGCCATGTCAAACTTTGAACAAACAAGGCACATACATGCACTACAAAAACCATTCCTCTTCACACAGACCTTGCATTCGCATTCATCCACAGGCAAAGGACTTCGACAGGAAAGATTTCTACATCTTAAGTTTAGGAACACCTCTGCCAAATCAGAAGATGAAATATTACTGTCCACCTGAAGATATTCCCTAAGGCCGGTTTTCAGAGCAACCAAGATTTCCAATTGAAAGCGATGGGCCTTCAATAGCATATCCAAGGTTAAGTCAGGCCTATTTTGCAGAGCACTCTGAAATGCATATAGTTGTCCTTGCTTATCGGCATTTATCATGATCTCACGAATACTCTCCTTAACCAGAGATGCGGACTGTCCCGTCATCTCATGAAATTTCCTAGCCATTACGTGAATAGGATCAGAAACTATTCTGCTGATGATAGTCTCAACAAAATCAGCCCCACCTATCAAAAACTGTTCCTGCTCCTTCTGGCTATTACTCCTGTATAGAACATGTTTTTCTCTCATGGCTCGTTTCTTCTCAAGGCTATAATTTGAACCAATATCCTGAGATCCCACACTGTGTGAAGGGGATCTAGTTTCATCAGGATTCCTTGTGTGTCCTCCTGACAACTGTTTGTGAAAACTCAACTGCCTTTCAAGTCCATTAGGCATTTTAGAGCCACCTTGCAATGCTTGACCATTTGGCATACCTTGTAAAGCTTGAGACTGATGAAGAGAGCCATTTCCATTCATCAAAACTCTTTGATACAAGGGGACATCTTTAACCTTAGAATCATTTTGAGCTTGGCTAGGCCAAATTCCTTGATCAACTCCCTGAAATAAGGGTCGGCTGTGAACAGATTGTTCATAGTTGTCCATTTCCAATGAATTTTGTGTTAAAGAACAGCTTGGATTGTGAAAAAATGACTGAGAGCCTGAAAACGACATTGATGCGGTAAACCCATCAGAATTTGTACGGAACGTGCTAAAAGATTGAACGCTTCTCCCATGACTGGGGGAACCAGGGGCCTGAGATGCATCTTTAGCAGCACCAATAGGTAAGAGAACATTTGGTAAGCTAAGAGAAAGATCAAGTGGCTCCAAAACCAGCTTTTCATCTTTCAGCTTACTAACACCTGATTGCTCTGCTTTTTCTGTTCTTCTAACAGGAGAGCTAGTGAACAAGTCAAATCCCCTAGTACTTGGCCCTTCCATATCATCTTCCTCATCTCTGCAAGTTGCAATATTTCTGGATTCTCTCTCAATCCATGGACCATCTTCTGCAGAATCAGCAGCATAGGTTGGAGAAACAGCTACACTTTTGCCTTTATCCTTCAAATTTTGGCCTGAACCCTCATTAACCAGATTGGTATCCACCTCAGCCTGTCCTTTCTCCACTTTAACTTCTTTACTCAACTTTGGCACTTCAACATCATCCATTTTTGCCTCGAGATCAATATCCTTCTCTCGTATACTTTCCTCTTTCAAAAATGTTGGCTTCTCAACCAACATTTCCTGATCTTTCTCCTCCTTGCAGTTGCTTTGTTCCTTCAAACTATGAATCTCGTCACCCTCTTCAGCACCACCCACATTCCCAACTTCCTCCTCACTGCCACTAGTGTTATCATGTGAATTCTGCTCACAATTTGGTACCTCAACAACTTCCTTCATCGCATCATTCCCCTCAGCCACACTTGCTTTGTCAGATTCCTTCTCTGCTTCATTTTCTTGATCCTTGGCTTCAGTTTCACTGTTCACCACTCTGTGATCAACATCCAACACAACATTCTCGTGTCGTCCTTTTTTGTTGTCATTTGCATCTTCCAGGGCAACCTGAGGGACTGATTCAGGCTCTGGCTCAAGCTCCCCTTCTTCCATTTCACTGCTGCTCCCACTACCAACACTCTTCACTTCCATTTCAACACTCTTAGCCTCCAGTTCACTCTTTTTCCCTACCTCCACGCTCTTTGATTGCTCACTTCCAGAATCCTTGGACCAAGTAGGTGATGACCTAGACTTCGAAGTTGATGATTTCCCTTTCCCCTCATCTCTCCCACTGCCTCTCACCCTGGTTTGCTCACTCCCTGAATCCCTCGACCATGTTGGCGACTTCACATCTCTCAGTCCCTTAGGAGAAGACCTAGCAGCAGTACTCATCCTCTCATCATTTCCACCTCTAATACCTCTACTTTCTTCAAATTCTTTATTCCCACTGCCAAATCTTCGCCAGGACGAAACACTGCCTTCTCTCCTTGGCCTGTCTCTCTCAGACCTAAAACCTTTCGGAAACTCTCTACGAGACCCACAAAAGCTCTCTGATCGATGAATAAGTCTATCGCTATTTCCAGCACCAACTCCTCCTCCGCCACCGCTTCCACTATACCCTTCTCTACTACTATACCTATCAAACCCTAAGCCTGCCCCTTTTCTTCGATCAAAGCTATCGAAATCATGATCTGACCTCTTCCGAACCATTCTAGAGCTTTCCCGACTATCATCATCCATAGATCGATCTCGATCATAACGGCTTGACGAAGAAGATGTAGACATCAATCCCTTCCTTACATTATCGGATTTGTAATAAAAGCTTCGAGACGATCGGCTCGGATTCAAATCTTTAGCAGAGGTCTTCTCGTTATAGGAATCGAGATCATCACTCGATCTCAATCTCTTCATTTCAAAATATCCCTTTTCACAGCTAAAAATCACAAAAACAACAAAACCAACAGTCCACAACAGCCAAATCTTAAAAATTAAGCTTGAGCAAAGAAACCCTAATCAATTGCATTTCTAATAGTTCGCCAAAGCAAAACAAACCAAAAACTAGAGTTCATAAACACCAAAAACAATAAATTAGGGTTTCAAAATGATAACTTTTTAATTATAGTCATAGTGACATAACAAATATTACAAATTTGACAACCAAAGAAAGGATTTTTATTTTCTAGAGAGAGAAAGAGAAAAGTTATAGTGAGAGAAACTAAGATAAAAATTCAAGCTTGGCAACCGGATGTCTAGTTTGCCTGAAAATCTAATGAATTTACGAAAATGGCATAGGAAAAAAGTCCATCGAAGGTTTTAAAAGAAGGAACGAGAACTAACGAGATGACCGGAAGAGTAGAGAGCCGGCGGTGGAGAGATAGACAGGACAACGAAGAGAGAAGAGGAGAGGGTAGGTGAGGCCACAAGAAGAAGAAGAAGAAGAAGAAGAAGAATTGTGTTTTCATTTTATGACAGTCAACGCAGTTTAACCACTACTATTATGAGAAAGAATGTTGGCTACGCAAAGCAATAAGTGCATTTGGTGTAAGAAATTTGCATGTGGGTCTTCATAAATTTTCTAAGGTTAGATGAAAAATTAAAAAATTCAAAATGTGGTTGAGTTTTGTCCCCAAGAGTCAAAAAAATTTAAATGTTTATTAATTTTTATCTATAAAATTAGAAATTTATAATCCATGATTACTCCTATTTTCACAATTTTACATAATTATCATGTAAAATATTGCGATTTTATTTATTTTTTTATTATGCCAAGAGCTTTTAATCCAATAACTCTAATTTTATTCATGTCGTATCATATATATAAAATAAAAGCGCTTATATCGAAATAAATATAACTATTATTAATATATTTAATTTAATATTAAATTGGTAAAATCTGTATTTCTTTTTAGATATTTTAAATATCACCAAATAAAATTGGTTCTTTTCGTTTAAAATCCAATTAAAAAAGAAGTTTTTATTTGATTTTTTTAATATCAAAAGAGGGTTAATTCAAATTTAAAATTATTATCAAATTGTACCTGTATTTATTATTAGATTATATCTTATTGTGCTTGATTTTTTTAGTTGATTAACAGAAAATCAACAAAATTCATCGGTGATGAATGTAATTGAATGACAATAAAATAGAGAATCACTTAGCTAATTTATAAAATAAAAGTCCTAACTTGTAACCCTAATTTATTCTATTATTTACTAATAAGCCGCACAAATTGCAATTATTAAAAAAAGAAGTAAAATGGTTGGGTATGTAATTATAATTTATTCTTTGCAATTTATTAATAAACTAATTAAGCGCGAGTAAACAATTAACAAAAATACTTACCAAAAAGAAAATTGTTGTGGTTATGACGTGTCTTCATGTAATTGGTTTATATGACTATTTGTCGTGTAACCTTACCCATCTCAATACAAGGTTCTGCTATTGGCCAGCGGTGGCCACTGCAATAACCCAGTTTGCAAAGCTTCAAAAAATCACCATCTCTCCCAAACCTACATCAAACCAACTATTCTTAATATCCACCAAACACGTGTAAAACATAGTCAAAATCATCTCCTCATCAACGCTTAATGTAGCGCGTCTTGTATAAACATTCCACGCAGCAAGTACGTATGAAAAAGTAAAAGCGAAAGGGCAGGACGGTTTTGACTCTTGCAGAGACTTTTGACGTCACATAAAATATTTATTTACCTTTTATTGACTGTTGCAATTAATTTCAGGATCTGAAAGAGGAGCCGTTGGATTTAGATGGGCCCACAACGTGGGGCGATTATGACGTGTAAGTTGTCTTTCTAGAGAAGAGTCAAAAAGGGACAGTTGGGTCCCAGTTGGCCCTAGAGAAGATAAGGGTGATTGATCTTTGAGGTTTGCGTTGTGGTGGTCTTCGATGTTCAAAGAATACAATAGAATCAATCAATTGAGTCAATTTTAATTGTCAATTTTTACTCATTGATTCAAATTATGAGTCTAAAAGAAATAATTCTTCACTAAATATTTGATTAGATTCCCTTGTACCATGGAAAAATAATATTCTCTCTATCTCAATATATAAGCCGTTTTAGTTGATTATTTTATTCAAAAATATAAATCATTTTGAGTATTTTAAGAAATAATAAATCATGTTTTTCCAATATCACCCTTATTTACATTAGATACAATAAATACTTTCTTAAGTAATTATTAGTTTTGATATAAAGGATAATTTTATCAAATTAACTTAATTTTGTTATAATCTAGGAGAATTAATTGTTTCATTAATTCTTATGCAAAAACCTTCAACGACTTATACTTTGAGACAGAGAAAGTAATATGCATATTGTTTTTCATTAAATATAAAATAATGTCGATACCGTGCTGCAATAAACAAAGAATTTATTCGAGAAAGTTAGTTATTGTAGTAGTTCTTAATTGTCTTAATAGCTGTTGATTGTTAACTGTTTAATTGAATGAATATTTAACTAAATACAAGTTAGCTATGTTCGGCATAACGTTAAACGCTACTTAAAAAATTGTTTGATAACATAACTTTCATAGGTTAAAGTAATATTTTGTAAAAAGTTAACTTCATGTAACGTTTAGTTTTTAGCATTTCATGAAAAGTTACTCAAACAACTAATAGCTATCAAACAACTAATTTTGCCAAATAGATCCATAAATAAATTAAATTTTAAATTCAGCATTAACAAAAATATGATTCATATCAAATGTGTCGACATGTATAATAATTTATTAGCACAAAACATATGTATCATGTGTATTGCATGATATGTAGTGTCATTTTGAAGATCTACTAAAAAATGGCAATCATCCCTTTTAGAAGTGAAAATTAAATTTTCTTGAAAAAAAAAGAATGGAAATTGTTTGTATTTCATATAGGAATGTATTTACAACATAACTCTTTTAAGAAATTTCAATTTTTCTATTTTTATGGAGAGTAGGAGAATAAAAATAAAATTTTTAAATTTGATATGATCACTGACCATCAAGAGTCATAAAATGTACTTGATTAGAAATTCAGAAAATACAATGAAATAAGGATATGATGCAAAAAGAATTGGTTGAATGCACGACACCCTTAATTTTTACGTTAACCCATCAAACACTTCAACTTATAAAATTACACGTATTAAAACACTTCAATTTTCAAAATTATTTTATTGAATACTTCAACTTGCAAAATTAGATCAACTAAACGCTCATTAAAAATTAAAATTTATAAAAATTATTGTTTCAAAAGTCATGCTAATTACATACTAAATCAATATTTACATATAAAAGCAAAAAACCCTAAAAATTATTGATATTGGTGTTAAAATGTGTGTAATATTAATAAATTCACAAGTTTAAGTACACAATATAGGTCATCCGCAAAGTTCAGGGTCCTACAAAGTTAAAATTACAAAACTCAAGGGTAAATATATGTATTCAGTCAAAAAAATTACAAATTTCTTTAATCAAAAGATAATTCAATCATTTTTTTCACCATTGTCTCACATCATGTACCTTAAAAACCCTAAACCATACCTAATAATTAAAACCAGCAAGAAGAACTATGGTTTATCCAATTAATAATAGCAGCAGAGTTGTTTTCAGGGCGTATAAACACACACACAAATAGCCATGGTTATGAGAATCAGATACAGTAGAGCACTCAAAACCACCATAAACATATACAAGTTCTCAAAATCATGGGCAATTCCATCAAATTCTGAAGAAGTAGAGAGGAAGTCCCTCTGCCAAGCATATGATACAAACTAAGCAAAGGAACCAAAGCTGAAAGGGAGAAAAATGAATGCAAGAACAATGAAAAAAAGGATGCTCAGGCACTATTTTAGGAACTTAAAATATATTTTCCCCGAAATAATTTATCTAGACTGAATTTATAGTCACACTTACGATCCAAATAAATGGAATTAAATATTTTTTAAAAAAGCATTTCGATTTTTTTTTTCACATATATAGTTAGAAATATTCTCATTTCAATAAAAATTCTCAATTTCATTTATTTGGTTTATAAGTGGAGTATCTATCTATATTAATTTTTCCTACATTCCTTTTTCTTGTTTTTCCCCAAATGCAAAAGAATAATCTATTTTAAATGGGCTCTTTTATTGGGCCAAGCCCAAAAAACCTAAGTACACAATCTAAAAGTACCAATTGTTGTGGCCTTATCCATTTTATTTCCTACGAGGATGGAAAAATCTAAGACAAACACTTTACTTTCCTTGCAAGATATTTTCTTGTGTTGAATTGACAAATAGTTGCTTATCTTCTTTCTTCTGTTATGGTCCAACATAAACACCTTCATTTATAACCTTCAACCTTAACCATCTCCATTTCTTTCTTACCTCCATTAATGGCAGCTCTCTCGTTGGGCCACTCTGTACATAACAATAACAAATCAATTCAAGAAACGAAACCCAGAAACTGCCCAAGAATTCTTGTACTCTTGTCTTGTCAAAGAGGTGAATCAATAGGACCAAAAGAGAAGAAAGAAATGAAGCAAGAAAAGCAACTTGTGAAGAGGCAAATCTTTTGTAGTGCAGAGAAATTAGGGAAGAGATTGAAGGATAATTTGAGCCCTAAACAAAAGGGTGATTGGAAAGATGTCGTTTTGATGAGCTTGTCGTTTGCTGTTTATGTATATATTTCTCAACAGATTGTTTGTGCTTATTGTGTATGGACTTCTATGCTCAAACAACCTTGGTAGGTAGTGGTGAACTTTTGCTTTTACGGTTATGAAGTGGACAGAAATAGCTTCTGTTATAATGTGTCTTTAGCTGCTTCAATTTTTTTTTTTTTCTTCTTTTTTATGAATTTTCTTGGTTCAATGTGATATTTTGATGTTTGTGAACATTATTCATGTTGAGATAAGCACTTGAAACTACATTGATGCAAATATTTCTCAAACAAATCCAATCAATCACCTCTTCTGGTATAAAAAATAAATTTGAGGTGTAGAGTTTGTTTTAATTAATTTTGATTTTCATAAAATTAAATTTATGGTAGTACAATGAAATTTTTTTTATATAGAAAATATGGAAACATAGAACAAAGCATAAAATTCATTAAAATTTCTTAGAATTCATTCAATCCAGACCTAAATGCAAATTTGTAAATTAAAATTTGTAAATTAAGGGAATGTTCAGAAAAATTAGATATATTTATTTTGATAGTCGTTAATTATTTTAATAATATTAATATTAACTATTTTAATAACATTTGACTATTTCAATAGCTAATAACATTAACAGCAAAATATTTCAGAGATTGACTTTTTATAAAGTACGATCTTTTAACCTTTAAAAGTTAAGGTTAAAACACTAAATTGCTTAAGGTTAAAATATTAAATTGCCGAACATTATAAAAAATAACATTTAGTGTGTTAATAGTTGTTGAACAAAGTTTAAACCTTCAAGTGATACTTGAAAAAGGAGCTATTACCTCCATAATGTAACTATAAATCCAACTGGAAACAAGAGAAGAATGAAGCATATAAGCTCTTCTTGATGATTAATTCACAAACAAATCAGTTTATATTCAAAACTAACAATTAGACGCATCTGTTTACAACCTTGAAAGTTCATACATATTCAGGTACAGAGGAGGATAAACTCAATGGCACATGAAAAATAGGGTTAAAGACACCTTCAGCATCCAAGTAATCAGTAACCTTTTAGCATACCGCCGCCTCATTATTATCATTTCTTCTTCAACTAATCGGATTTGTGCCTTTCCCGCTTAAAAAGGCGGTAGATTATTGACAGTAGCCATTGCCAAATAAGGATCACAAAATTTTTTCGCCTTGGTTTTGGCTCTGGTGGGGGTCCAAAAATTCCTTTGTATATCTCCTTTTGTTTTTGATATACAGCCTTGTCATGTTCAGCTAGTACACGCAACTCCCTCGCGATTGCCTTGTCTTCAGGTGCATATTTCCTTGCCTTAAGAAAATCTTCTCTGGCAGCTTCTGTTTGCCCTAGTTCTGCTCTTGCCTTTCCTCTTCTAAACATTGCTTTGACATTGTTTTCATCCTCTGATAATACCTGAAAATCCATTAACCCATGGATTAAATATTTGAACATTGAAGTCCGATAACAGAAAAAAAAATACCTGAGTTAAATTTATCAAAGCAATGAGAACTCTTTTGCCGAGCAAAATTGTCTTTTATATTTTATATTTGCAAATTTGGTTTTTTGAGTAGGTACCTGATCCATTGCATAAATTTGCTGCTAATAAACAAACAACTGTAAAATCTTATTTGGATCGCTAACAAAATTCTATAGATCCTCAAAATCCAGTGCAAAGATAAAAATTAAAAAAAATATAATAATATCTCCATAATTGTTAGCATAATAGAGTAAATGGAAGAAGAAACGATCTAGTTTTCCATTCTGCCAAGTTATTTGAAAGAATGGGTTGCCTCCTAAAGATACGGATTTCTCTAGGGTGGTCAACTGAAAATTATGGGAACAGCCAAGAGCAGTGACCAGTTACAATTATGGCTCCTAATTGTAACAAAGTCCTTGAGGTCTTAGTTTTGATGGTTTTGTTGAAGCAAGTGAGAAAGTTGTTTCTGTAACTTGTACCATTATCACACAGAATCCTGAGAATCCAAATTCTTTAATGCTGTAAGCAGAAAAAAATAATTGATCCACTATACTTACGATACTGCATTGCCCAATGGCTTCTTCATAGCGCTTAAGCTTTATTAGACATGCCGCCATGTTAAGATGGCAAGGATTTTTAACTGCCAATGCCATGTCCCGATATTTGCCAAACAGTTGGAACATGAAGTCATCACCCAAATATGCTATGGCCTAATATGAAAACATGCCACTAGACTGTGTCAGGAAAAAATTAGGAAAAACAATATAAGATGAAAGCAACCTCCAAAGCAAAAGGAGTATTCAATAGCATGAGGGTTTAACCATTTCATATTGTTGCATGGCCTCTTCAAGTTTCTCCTCTTTATAGAAAGCATTGCCATCCATTTTTCTTCGATCTGCAGCTCCAATCCTTTCTTCTACAGTCATGTCACCACGAGCTTTCCCCTAGAACACCACATCCATAAATTTATTGACAAGCAAAGGAATAAAGTGAACATAATCTTCAAGTCAAAGAATTATTGCCGTATGAAATTATTTGGGTTGTAACTTACTTCTTTGGTTTCATCAAAACCAATAAGCTCGACTTCATATATTATATCCGCCATAGGAGGCACATTTGGGAAAGAAAAGTTTCCTTCTTTTCCATAACCTAATTCCCAGCCAACATGTAGGAGGGCACGTTCACCAGCCTTCATATTGAACACACCAATAGCTAAACCCGCCATTTCTTTCTTCTCTGTTACATCAGTAAACCATCAATAATTAGTGATAGATTCAACAGCAAGACAGCAGAAAAGCAATAGAATCACAAAATTTAAAAGGGAGAAAAATAAATTTATAATGAATCTATGCCAAAGTAATACAATATAACTACATTCTTCCATTAGATTCCTTCTGGATAACTTTCAACGTATTTTGAAAGCCTTGCATACTTGTGTCAATTAAATCAAATCCACATAAAATAACAATGGATGATTTTAAGTTTGACACCTCACTGATCCATATTGATCACTGGAAGAAAATTTGCTAACCATGTACTATTTTGACATCATAGGGTACAAGGCGAGGATGGCAGTTGCAAAATTGCATTTCAAAAATAGCAGAATTAAAACCAGAAGCAAATATGAATCCCAGTTTGCATACAAGCTTCCCGGAGAAAGCGACTATCAAAAAAAAAGGGAAGAAAAAAATCTAAAGCCAGCATGATAACAGATATATACCTTTTCCTATAACCATTTCAACCGGTCGTTGTTCATGCCATGTATCCTCAAACTTATGTTGGGTGCTTTCAGTCCATGCTCTGTAGTGTACTGTTGAGCAGACCCAGTTGCAAAAGTTTAGGTTCCAGCATAAATGATAGATTCCTCATTACATTGAAATCTTGTCAGAAACAGAATTTGCATGACAAAAGCAAATAGGCAGGTCACTACACTACATACACCAAACTGAGCTTCAGATAAGAAAACAGATTGAACATCATATACAAACATAACAAAACAACAGAAGCTGAAGATGTTCTCAATTTAACAGAGGGTTAAGAGAGCAAGTTGACTACAAGAACTCCCTGCTATTATACTCATATTACTATTCACAAATTAGAACACTAGTAAACCCTATAAATGCATAATTGTTTTAACATTCTGGACCCTTCACCTTGTAGTTCTAATGTTCTACACTTAACTCAGACAAGGACATGAATGTCGTGCAATTCAAAGTAAGTGTAGATATTCCCAAAGTAGGAGCATCCTACATGCAAAACAACCAATCAGCAACAATAACGAGCCATGCCCATCCAACATCAACATCTAAAAATGAAACAGCTGTTTTGCTAAAGAAATGAATCTCTCCATAAAAGAGCTAAAAAGTTCCCACCTTATGAAGGGTACATGATCATCCGGAAAAACACCTTAATCATGCAGGAAATATGAAAAAAGTAAAAAAGAAAAAGACACATTGATTTGTGAGGGGAATCTAGTTCAAAATTAAAACAAGATTTTGATAATCAGGTGTCGATGAATCATATCGTTGATTCATATATCTTATTCACTTTACTTTAACTCCAGGAAAAATTTTAGAAAGATTCGAGTCCAGTCAAATCAAATAAACTACTTATAAAATGAGGAAATGCTTATATGTATGTATTCTTAGCTTATTAACACTTTTGTTTCCTTTTTTGTAATGTAAAAAAAAATGGTGATTCTTTACTTATTACTTCACCAATACGCAAAAATGCATACATTAAAAAGATAACAGAAAAGTTGATAGCTCAATTCTAGCAATGCAGTGGTGCAATTATAATAACCATCAAGTGGGGCATAAGAATTTCTAGTTTGCCAGACTCATGGGCACACATCATACAAAAAATAAAATAAAATAAAAAAACTAAATGGCAGTATCTTAATGCTCAGAAGATAAATAAATAGCTGCTTGGTACTCACAGAAGCATGTTGAATATTTGGATGGCTTCTGACCATGTCCTTCCTTAATGATTTGTTTTGTGATTTTCTCGTGAAGGATTTCCACCTCAGAATCAACTTTTGGCGGACCATCACCATCTTGAGGAGGATCACCATGCACAAAAGAAGCATTTTCAGTAACTATTTCATTTTCATCATCTTGGCCTGCGAGTACGGGATATGTACAACTATCATGTTTCATGGTGTTTGAAGGATGACACAAGAGCTTAGCAACAAAAGCAGCTAAAAGCACATTACTAGGAGAATCCAAAATAAAATAATGTGCATAGGTTGTATACAAAAGGCACTTGATGCTACTCGCCTTGAGTTCCAAAAAGAAAATGTCATTAACCTTACTTTGAAGAGCAAATAACAGGATTTTGTGGAGAAGACAAGAGCATTAAATTCATCATCCAATCCAGAAAGTAATAATAGTAAGCAGAAAAATGCAGTAGGCACAAGCTTTATGTGCATGTGAATCTTAGACATTGAATCAGTGAAAGATGATGATCTAAAAGCTGAAGTTTCCTATGCAAAACCAATTGCACATTCAGTTATTATCCAGTAGTAAATTGGCTCGAGAATTGACCATAAGGAAAGAAACTTACAAGTAAATGCAATAAGAAAATCATGTTAGAGACTCCATAATCACATATTATACACGATCTTTGACAAAAGCTAGGTTTTTGAAGCCAATATGCTTTTGTGTTGCCAAGCTATTGAGTATTTTGATTAAAATTCTTTTCTTTCTAAGAGGTGAAATAGAATAACACGGTTGAAGCATAATGATCACACGTTTTTCTACTGCTAAACTCAGCACGCTTAAATAATTTAGAGTTTTACACAAATCAAACTTGTGCTCCCCATATAGATGAAAAATATAGAGTGTTAATGCATTGCAATGCAATTTGTTTCCAATTGCTTCATCATATCAACCTGACATTATCAGCCTAAAATCGCATTAAATTTGATGGACAAAATAGCTGAGAATCCTTATCCATGTTGATCATTGCAAAATAAAATTGAATTACTACCTGCAGACATAAGCATATACTTAATAATCTACAGATAAGTTTACAATAACAACAATGAATTACCGATCCGTTGACTTTGCTGCTCTTGAGCGTCCTCCATTACTCAAAAAGCTTGACTCAAATTCTGCAAGAAGACCCAAACAATCGAAACTTCAATTACTACACAAATTAATCAATCCGTACTCATATACAACAAAGCCTTCCTGACAACTTCGTGGCAGAAACCAAAATGGAACGACAATTGCATTCGAATGACTTTGCTTGGTTCCGGAGAAAAAAATGCCGGTAGAAAGAAAGGATATAAAAAAAAATGAATTAAAACAGAAACCGAGAAAAAACATTCTTTAAACACTCGAAAGAGTTTACTCTTACTTCAAAGAAGCAAAATCAGCAAGCACAAAAATACTCAAGCTCGAAACTTTCTTACTCAATATTTTTCTCGGGAAACAAACAGAAAGTGAAAGAGGTACTATTCAATTACTTACTTGGAGAATAACGAAAGAGAGAAGCTTATTGGAGAGACGGGCAGTCGCAGGAGAACAAATGAATGTGTCTATTTTGTGAGGATCAAAGAAGATTCTAGAGAGGGGGAGAGAGAGAGAGAGATTGAAGGGAAAGACTAATTACTTTAACTAATTAATTAATTTTGGATTATTGGGCTTTGTCTTTGTTAATCTAATAGGGGTAATAAACCATGAAAAGAGCATCTTCAAACACAAAAGGAAATTAATAATTTTTTTTTTTTTTTGATACATCAAATTTGAATGAACAGATTAAAAATAATTTTCTTAAGTTCTACCCCATCTAAATTTTTTTATATATATAACTTTTAAATGTCAATTTATGGTCTTTTCAGGTTAAATTAGAGAAAAAATAATATCCAAAACATGTTTTAAAAAGTGCTTAATGAATGAATTAGATAGTTGACAATATGCTTAATTGCTAATTAATATTAATTATTGGTTTCCTCCAATCTTACTTAAAAGGGGAAAAACGTGCATCATGTTGGAATCACGTTATCCCTTTTGTTTAACTTTTTTTTTTTTTTTTTTACGTTATCCTTTGTTTAACTTTTTTTTTTTTTTTTTGGCTCTTTTTAAAATAAAAATCAAATTATAAGTTCATTTCTACAATTGCACAGTAATTCCTGTCTTTCAATCTTTTGTCAAAAGTGAATTGAAAAATTCTTAAGGCACCCTTTTTAGATAGTGCTTTAAAAGAAATGATAAATCGAATATAATTTGATTTTTTTTTTTTTTAAGAACTTATCTGTTCGATATTTTATTTTTGATTTACGCACGTGTTTCTATGTTCAGAAATAAAATTGGTAAGTAATGGATTATATACTCACTAGAGACCAGTTTTTGTCTTTCTCTCTACCATAAAAACCTTTTAACTTTTTTTTTTTTTTTTTGGTCTTTTTAAATAAAAATCAATTATAAGTTCATTTCTACAATTGCAAGTAATTCCTGTCTTCAATCTTTGTCAAAGTGAATTGAAAAATTCTTAGGCACCCTTTTAGATAGTGCTTTAAAAGAATGATAAATCGAATATAATTTGATTTTTTTTTTTTTTAAGACTTATCTGTTCGATATTTTTATTTTGATTTACGCACGTGTTTCTATGTTTCAGATAAAATTGGTAAGTAATGGATATATACTCACTAGAGACCAAGTTTGTCTTTCTCTCTTACCATAAAACCTTTCATTGAGCAAATTTAAACATCCAATTAGAAAATAAAGAGAGATTGACAGACAACTCAAATGCTACAAACTCACTTTTATCAATAATAATTTTATATATATCATATGTAAACTTTACAAGCTCCTTGCAGAATTTGAAGGAGCGAGCGAAAGAATGCTCAGAAAATTTTATATATATACAAGTGAAGGAACAGGCAAAAATCCTCCCTTCAAAAAGTGAAAGAAAGATGAAAGAATAAAAGAATGGAAGAACAAAACATCTCATCTTCATGCTTAACTCCTTCATAGAATTTAAGCTTCATTCATTAACTGATGTTGAACACGAGATGGCGATGCTGAATCGCTGATCCACCAATAGTTCGAGCCTATGCATGTATATATATGTATAGATAAAATATATGTACTAAACTCCACTACGGAGTCTGAGACTCGTGAGAGCTGCTATAATTTTTACAGAATCAACAACCAGCGGCCCTTAGGAAGTTATCATAGGGACTTGATGCTGGTAACTGAAATTGCTGGTGATACTGAAACTCAGATGCGCAAAGCAATAAACCAGTGGATGCAGGGTTGAATTGAGTATTGAAATTTTCGTCAAGGAATGGGTTTCCACTCTGCAGTTCCAGAATGTTACAAAATCAGATAACTTTGAAACATCTAACTTACAAGGGGGAGAGAGATGCTTAAATTTAGGTGTGAATCACTAAAGAAAAACAATAAAGTAAACCTGCTGAAACTGAGAATTGGATGGCATCTGTTTCCCTTGGTTATATTCATAAGCAGATACTTTAACCATATTTTCTTGCTTTTCTTGAGAACTCATTAAATCAGACATCTTTTTCTGCTTTCCTGCTGTAAGAGCCTCACACTGGCCAGCCATTTCCTTGTAAGGCATATCATTTGGAGTCGAGGCTGAAAATCTTCCAACTTGATAAGTTGTTTCTGAAACCTGTGTGCATCACATATTAAACAATTAAACAACAAGGATGGATTTTACAAGTACACTTATGAAGAATAACCAAACACAACTTACTGCGGTTAGAAGTTCCCCAACACTCAGAAGAACCGGAAGTTCTGGTCCCAGCAGCAGACCACTATTATTTTGACCTTCAGTTGCATTAGGTAAATTATCTTCTAATGAGAATAGTAGAGGCTCAGCCTGCATTCATGTCATTCTGTACATTAGGGTGTGAAGTTCTATAGAAATGGGAAGAAGAACTAAAAATTGAAGAAAGTCATCACCTTCTCAGAACCTTTGTGTTCTGATACTGGCTCTGACCTTTCTTCCAGTATCTCCATGAATAAATCAGCTCCCAGTGGACACACATCATCTGGCACAAAGTCCTTAAGCAACTGCTCCTTTAAGGCAGAGTCTTGCTGTGAAGAATCTATATTATCAGTACTCCAGCCATATAAATGCCAATATATTAATGACTTAATTAAGCAAAAGTGCATGATGGTTACCTTTGATGATTTTCCAGTAAACTTTGCTATCATGTTAGCAAATGATTCTTTTGTTTGGCTGTCTGTTATTTCTATTGCTGCAAGTGACTTTAGAGCATCCTCATTGTCTTCTTTAGATCCATAAACCTTTCTCGGGCCTGTTGGGTTGATAACAGCCTGTAACTTGCACTCATCCACCAATTTTAGAAATGGATCGACCTGATAAGAAGTGGTGATAGAAAAAAAATATTGCTAAGAAATATGCATTTATTTCATAAAGTTAAAAAATATATAACCAAAGAAATTAAGGACAGAATATGTTCTGTGTTTGCTAAAGGGAAAGAGTGAAGGTGATGCACTTAAGTGGTAGGAAAATAAAACAAGTAAAACAAGGCCTATCAAATACTAAAACACCTACTGTTTTATCTGTGATTGTAGCTCTAGCACATGAAACGAGAGGCAGGATGTTGAAGGCTTTTGATGAAAAGATAATCATAGATGTTGACAAGATAAAGAGGGAACGGCGACGTGATGGCTGCAGTGGCCCTGAAAAAGTCATAAAGCTTCATCAGCTGAAAAGATGGCATACCGAGCACACGTGGAATACCCTTACATGTGACTGTGGCACATATAAAATGTGTGTATATATATATGTATGTTGCAATCAGGTTCATCATAGTGTTATAAAATTGGTGAACATGTAATATACAAGCTAAAAAAACCAACTCCTGATTAGTCAAGACATTTTGCCCCCCTAATTATCTAGAATTCACAACTACTATGATAAGTCACCTGATTTATGATTCTCCAACTTGATCCTTTAGTTTCACTACTACCTCAAGGAAGAATATATTGCTTATTTTCTATTTTTTTTTCTCCTTTCCATTAAAGCACGACAAGCATTTGCCTCAAAGTGTTCCCTAGTCTACAGCAACTACTGCAACTTGTTGGTACAAGCAATCCACACAGCTTGCCTCACCTTCACTAGTCTCCAACTTGAAAATTTTATTTGTTATTTTCTACTCACTGTGAACCAGTGATTACCAGTAAGATGTATAGTTGGAGTTTGCTTCATTTAAAGCCTCTATCAGATGACCATTTTCATGGAGCAATGGAGCTTAAAAGAATCAAACAATTATGTGGACTACATAGGTAAAAAATATGATGTAAAAACAGATGAATCATCTTATATTCCAGCCCTTCAAGCTAGTTTCAATTTTGATGTATTTAAACAAAAATAACACAATTAGTTCAATTCACTTTCAAGTAAACCATAATTTTGACATTTGTCAAACATACTGGATTTTATGATAAATGGTGGGTCTTACAATTTGCATATGTGGCCGAATTACAATTTAAGAAATAGCAAGACAAAATAATAATTTGTAAGTAATTTAAGACGTAAGTTCCTACCTCCTCCAAGAGCAAAGCCCCTTAAGGAAAATGCTAGTTGAAAACTCCGAATTAAAGTCTCATTGCTGGAGTTCTACTTCACAAAAACAGAGCTAATCAGAAATAAATTCCATGAAGAAAGTGAATCCCATTAAAAAAGGTAAGAAGTTAAGATGGGAACATAAAGTCAAATCATGACAAAACTTCAAAAATAGTTCTTGATATAATTAATCTGACAAGGATATAGGAATACCTTGGTCCGGGCAAATAGCAACACCAGGCTGTAGCTATGAGCAATTGCTTCATAGTTCACAGGTGTATTTAAAGGAGACAAGGATTGTGCCCAAATAGATGAAAGCAGGAGGGTAATCTGGCGACTGCTCAACCTAAGGGATATTATCTGCCACATTATTTTTGTTTTGCCAAAGAAAAAAATTCATCATCGCGATGATAATGAATGATATAAACAATGTTTTTTATAAGGAATTCTTGAATGATAGGAAGATAATATACCTGTTCTTTGTTCAACTTGCTGATGGGTGTCTCATCTGCTGTTACAGTCACAGCCACAGGTTGTTGAGTCCTTTTCACACTATAAGCTCGGCTGTAACTTGACTTCAACCTATTGAGCATGGAAGGATTATTAGCTGTTGGACCCTCGTTAGGTGTAATTTTTTCCTTTCTATCTTCACAACTATTTTCTTGGGAAGAATTCTCTTCCTTTTTTAATTTTTCGAAGAGAGCAGCTGAAGAAGAAAACACAGATACAGTTCTTGATAGCATCCTTTGCATATTGGTAGGTCTACTGGGAATGGGAACAGAAGCAGAAGCTGAGACAGTAAAAGATGCGGCAACAGCAGCAGCAGTAGGAGCAGCAGGACCACGGGGGCAAACAGAAGATGGGACAAGAACAATAGAAAATATGCGGTGTGCACCCACCCTGGTTTCATGGTCATCATAGACCATAGCCAGAAGTAATTGATGAAATAATGCCTCAGGAAAAGCCTACAGAATTTCAAGAAAAAGAAAACAAAAGTACAAAATGAGATACAAACTTGTAGAACTAGTGTGACAAGATCAGAGACTAGGAGATTCTAAAAAGTTAAGTGCACTCTTGCCTTGTTCTGATAGGTCAAATTTGGCAGGGACGCCACTATCTGAGCAGTACGATAAACAGCAGAAATTAAGGTTCTGGCCATGACAGTAATACTTGGCATATTCTCCAACATCACAGCCATAACATCAAGAATAGGATCAGCATCTCCAACCTGCAATCTGAATGAGTTAGTTATGTCTTTATTATACACGCTCATGAGGCACAGGCACACACATATACCCAATGCAATCAAAGCCTTAATATCCACAATAGTTGTATGGATCATTTTCCTTCATTCCACCCTTTTAGGACTACATAAAAACATACAGACACATATACACGGACATGTACATACACAGACACATACAGAGAGGCGCACATGTTCCTTTCAAGTTACAATCATAGCTTCACTGGAGAAAAATAGAAAAGCTATCATAAGAGACTAACCGTTCATATAATCATAAATTTTGAGACTATATCTTTGAAACTACATAAAATCTGAGCGAACATTCAATCAAATTTCTGATAGAAATGGCATTAGATGTCTAGTCGTCTGAAGAATTTCAGAAGAATTTACCTTGAAGGCTATCTGCACAAGGCACCCATCTACTGCCACTCGAAATTTACGGTTCCATTCAATTACCTCAGTCCCCAGTTTGGCATCATCAAGTGAGCAGTGTATGCTTTTCCGCAAGTGTCTCATCATATCACTCAATGCACCAATTATAGCCACAGATGGTTGAACCTTAGTTTGTTGAGCAAGGCTGGTAGCAACATTGACAATGTCTAGTTGCATATTGGGCTTCTTAAGAACATTCTTGTGATCAAGGTGCTTAATTAAGATGGACAATACAAAGTGTGTTTTTTGTCCTGAAAATTGAACAAAATTGTTATTACATAAAAAGAGTTCCAAAAAGGAATTCAAAAAGGCATAAATAACTCAGTGGAAATGAAGACAACTTAAGCTCCAAAGGCAACAATTCTATGACAAAGAAATAAATTAAATACCAGTTTTCTCTATTACTAACTGCATATCCAGCAGGACAGAAAGAGCAAGACCATGTTGTGGAGACCAGAGGTCACCATCATCAAAATAGCGGAACAGTGACTCAAGGACACGCCGGACAGTTGTAGCTTCCTTTGCCAACTGTGCCATGTTATGCAGGCAAACCTTTGACCAAAATGTAGGATTCTTCAAATCCTCTCTACATCAGTGACAAAGAAAAAAGAATAAATAAGAAAGAAATAAACGAGGAAGTGGACATCAGTAACCATATCATGTTCCCTAGGGCAAGGCCAAAAAATTTTCATTTAAGAAGGAGGAATTACTGAGATATGTTAACATCGCCTTGCTCACTAACGATTTTCCTCCAAGAAGGAATCCTTCTTAGGGTATCTGATGAAAGAGAATCATCTTGAACACCTTCACTCCGGAAACCATCTGTATCTGCACTATTGTCTGGAGGTTCATAATTATCCAAGACAACCGAAACCACCTAATTTATGGAGAGATAATAAAATTGTGTTAGATGGTAATCACAAAATTTTGTTGCATAAACAATCAGAAACTTCTAAGGCTCAGAAATATTACCAAGGAAATATAAAATTACAAATGCCACTGGCATAAATATAAATATACATTCAAAATATTTTTGAATTTTTAAGATAAAATGTTCAAAGAATCTCTCAGCAAATGCACTGTGATGGTGGGTTCAGTTACACACACAAGAAACATAGGAAGAGAAAGAGAAAGTGAAAGCGAAATTGTTAAATTAAAAATTTTCCAAAAGATTCTTTCCACACAGTTGTTCGACATGTATCTAACTCAAATAATTAGTGTCCCCAGTCAAAGACATGCTGCAGTAGAGTGTGAACAACAAGGTGTAGATGTACAAGCAATAATGAAAACAGAAAAAAACATGAGCAAAAAGGTCAAATTATCCCATGTTAACTTACAGTATCAAAATCTGCTGAAATATGAGAGAATTCGCCCATGAACCAAACCTGCATGGTAGCCAGTTAGAGTGACAGAACAATAAAAAAAAAAAAATTATTATGCAGGATAAAGGTAATAAAATAAGATTATACAGGATTTGAAGTCATGCCTTCCCCACAGTGACCATTCTAATCCCCCATTCATAGATAGACATGCATCGTATCATGGTTGCAATTTTGAATATTGATGTACACTTGTATATAAATTTCAGCGTTTCTCATGCAAATCTGTCCCTATCTTCTCAAATTTTCTACTAAAATCCTAATATATCTTAAAACATATTAAAAATTTACTGTAATATTGCACAACATATTTTCCATTATGGTTCAGCCAATGTGTATCATATATAAATAAGAAATAGTACACATTGCATAACATATTCTCCTTAAAATCCAGCTAGAGCTTGAAGAACAACAATGGGGTAACTGCCCCCCTGGATTTCCATCTACATATTCAAGACAGAAGTGCAAATACAATTAAAACTATATAATCCTTGAAAGTTATCATATTGGAAATTCTTTATCATAATCACAGAACAGTAGTGCAGTGTGCAATATTATATATTTAACTGGAAAACTTCACTTAAACTAAATTTGAATGTCTAAGGAATCATTTTGAGGTATGAACATAGTAACAGGAAACACAATGTTGTCCAAGATAACTTCATTGGCATGAGATATATTACCATTGATGAGAGAGCCTGAAGCCCAGCAGTACGTATGTCTTCTATCCTTCCCGGCTCTCCTATTTCCTGAACTAAATGACAAAGTTTTGGAATCAAGCCGTCTAAATTGAACACATAAGTACCATCTGTCTGCACAATCAGAAGATGGTCAATTAGAAAGGAGCTTTCTGCACTGTGTACGTAAAGCTTAGAGATTAGTTATATTAAAAAAATGAACTTTTATAACACGAAACAGAAAAACCTATCAACAACTCTCACCTGATTATTCACAAAGTCAAATAGAGTTTGGCATCCTAATATGCGAATACCATCATGCCGAGTTTGATCTAGTAGAATGTGTATGATGCTAAGCAAGCTGCTAGCAAACAATGGCCTGTCACATAATACCATAATATCACAGATCACAACGTTTACACAAAATAGATGAAAGGAAACCATATCTATCTTTTGAATTCTTTAAAAAACTTTATATTAAACTAGGCATGTCGATCATTTTCTTTTCTGAGATTCCATGTTGATCAAATTTATAAATGCATAAAAATAAAATAAAATAAAATAAAATAAAAAAAAAAAACATTCTGATTAGGAACTAAATCCTTAAGTGGCTATGCTATGAATCATATATGGGTCTCACAAGCATGCATGGTTCGTTAAGAAGAGCATAAGCATGTAATAAGTGCTGGTTGTGAATAGTAAATCTTCAAATGCAGGAACACAGTCATAGTGGACAAAGCAACAAGACAAGAGATCATTACATGAGTAAAATCGTGCAATATAGGCTACCCATGATTACAATCGATTAACTATGGAAGGATCTGGTTTTGAAGTCTTGTAGCTCAACTCAGATGACTTAGTGATGTTAGCATGCATTAACAACTAAAGAGCGCCCAACATTTCCAGTAAAAGAAAATGACTCAAGTAATGTCTTTTATATGTATTCAAACTAATATAAGTAAATATAACTTACATTTGCTCCTTACATGAAACCAACAACTTCCTGTAGATAGACATAACAATTCTTACAGATTGAAACTGCTCGGTTCTCAAATCCTTGTAACACCTTTGCTCAAGAGAGCTCGTGATCTGTTTAATATATTGGGAACTCATATCAGTACATGAAAAGAAATGAAAATGAATGTGAGAATATGTTATGTATGCTAACAGATAAGTAAATTCATACAGTTCTTTCAAAAATTATTGGGCATCAAGGAAGTTTCTGCCAAACTAGATGATAAAGATATCTGAATTTAACTTTCCATTTTATTCTGGTTTCTGAATGGAATGACAGACCAGTCAATCTTCTCTAGCTGTTATCAAGTTTGTATAATAGTCAGTCCTGCTGCACATGCCAAGCATTCTATATTTCATTATGCATGCGTTTTTTATTGTTTTCTTTGCTCTTCAGTCTGTTTTCTATCTCTCATTGTTATACATGCCACTTGCAAAAATGCTCAGCTTTCTCCTGTCTCATTTTCCCACCTTTCAACAGCATATACATCCCTGCCCCTTCTCCTCTCCATGTAAAATCATCAAAAAAATATATAGTATTAACTCCTTCATCCCACCCTAATTTAATTTCATGCATCCATAAGTCGAAATAAGAGAAGAAAAAGTAGACTCATCCACAATAATTTGTTGACATGCTCAATAAGACTTATTGCCATGAATATAACTTTTCTGCCAAAACTACTCTTCGCCATTTCATATCTCTGTTTATTTTCACATAGGAAAACCATAAGCGAGTTCAACCAAAAGGATCGGACTAGATGAACGGTTTACCACATCAGTTTGACCAAAGATTCTGTCTCAATAGCATCTAATAAATCCCTTCCCAATCCACTTGACCCCTTTAGCACGCATTAAGAATAAATGCACTATGAAGTGTTCCCATGACTTCTATCTTCTATCACATAAAACAATCTAATTGGTTACCAGTTTTTTTATATTTCCACGTTCCTGCTTTCTGAAAACACTTCATGATTTAACGAGGAGTACTTAATCAAACGTAGTGCTTAAATAGTAATCATCCAATCAACTTCCTTTAGCTTCTCTTACAAAATAAATGAACATAAGAATGACAGAGTTGAATTGTATAATTAGGTACAAGAACAGAATATTCTGAAAATAAATCTTTCACCTTTGGAATACGGAGAGGGTTTCTAGCTGCATATTCACAGAGTTTACCAATCTTTCGATCATTTACTTGTTCATCCTGCCATAATAGCAGAAACAAGTTCTAGAGATGAAACGACTAAACAGGATAAAACTAAAGGAACCTCAAACACTTGTACAATAATAATGCACAGTGCAGCAAGTGAAATAAAAAAAATAAATGGATAACTTAAAATCCAAATTTGCTTATATATAGAGTAATAACTAAGATAAAGGGAAAAAAATTTAAAGTGGAGGCCTCTATTGAAAACAGAAGGAAACATTTGAAACCAGAGCATTTGTTCCCCTTTACTTGAATTGCTAGGCCCAAAAGGCAAACAGAAATAATGCATACAAGGAAAAACATCTTAAAACATAATGACCAAGTTTTCCAAATTTTCTTTAGCAAACACATATCCAGCATGCCTATCACACGCAGAAGCCCACACAAAGAAATGCTATGTTTAAACTATTCTTTACTAAAAGTCCAAAAAGCTTGGAAATCACCACCAGTCCAAATCACCAAATTTCCAAATTATCGAGCTCTGCAAGTTGAATTCCACTTGCCTTTCCCCACATTCCCTCAACTAACATACAACAATAAAATAACGATAAATACTGCAGCAAGGTGGACTTTTTATTTTTCCACCTTTCCTGGGCAATCAGATAACATACAACAGAATATCAGTTCAAATAATAAACTAATCATCTAAAACGCCAAAAAAGACCAGAAATTAATCAACAATAAGTACCCTGAACACAACAAGAAAAACTATCCAGTCCAAGGTTAATAATGAGATTCTCCATTTCCTTTTTTCCTCACATTTTCCCTCGAGAACCAAACAGAAAATTGCATAAAGCGGCATAACAAAACACAACCTCAAACTCAATTTCATACCAAATTAAAAAAGAGGGGGGGTGGGGGGCAGAAAAAGGCCTAACCGGAGTTCGAGGGAATATATCAGAAAGCAATTTCTTGTAGCGCTTGATGGGCTGCCTCGATCTCGTACGCAATCCGGGGCAAAAGAAACATAATATATCACAAACGGGCATAACTTGACTCGACATCGTGCTCATCTTTATTTCCTCTAAATATATACAATACCCACAAAAAATTTATTTCTGTTTCTTTATGCATTAACTACCACACCCTTCAAAAACCTATACGTAAATACCCAGAAAATTCCCTGAAAATATAGGAGAAAAAAACCAAAATTCTCCCTTGAAAACCTGTAAAGATGAATATGTATGCATATCCAAAATTTAATAACAAAATTGAGATGGGCAGATTTAAAATAAATAAATAAATAAATTTAGGGGAAATGCGGATAGTAGATTGTGGATTGTGGATTGCCTCGGGAAAATGGCAGAGAATTGATCACCGAGGTGCCTCCACAATGGAAAAAATATCAAAATGAAAATGAAAAATAACTGAAATTGAATTGAAAATTTAGCTTTTATAACTTCTCTTCTTTTTGGGTATTAGTTGTTTTTTTTCCCTCTTTCTGCCTATTTATACTCTTCCCTTGTGTGCACCAAAGATTGAGATTTCGCTTTTGTTATTTAAAAGTTCGTTTCTTTTTTCTTTTTCAATTGTTAACGGGTTAAATTTAGCCGGTAGACAGGTAGAGAGAGAAAAAACGTAGGACCTAAATTATGAAATCTGTTGACTCATGGACTAAATTATAACAATGCTTTTCTTTTTTTTTTCTTTTTTTTTTTTTATAAAATTCTGCTTCAATTTTTTCTTCATTCATTTGGAGGCAGTCTACAAATGAATCAAGCCATGGTGAGATGCTCGAAACTCTGATTAGAAAAAAATTTAATTGGATCTTTCCGAAACCTTAACGAGTTGAGTTCGAATTTATTTATTAAGCTCATTCATTAAGGGAGTTAAATTAACTTTAAAATGACGCTCACAAGTTTTATTAATTAATTAACAAATTTATAAATTATGTTAAACACGGATTATATTCAAATATAATATAACGAACGAAATTTGAACTCAACAAAACTCGACTCCTCAACTTATTTACAATTATTTCATGTTCAAATTAATTCTAAATAACAATATGACTACACATTTGAACACCTTATCAAATTATTGAAACCTTATTGAAAAGACTCGATAAAAAAAAAAAAAAAACCCTTAATCTTTACATCTCCATAAAAGTAAAAAAATCAACAATAATAGATTAATTAATATATTCTATATATTCTATTTCATTTCTCTCTATATTTATATATTTTTTTTTTTGAAACTTTTGAAGACTCCTCCTTAGTACTCTTTTAGTTCCACAAAAATAAAATAAATCTAATTCAATTTTCACACAGATTAAAAATATGTAACAAATATGTTTAAATTATGATTTATATTTAAATTTTTAGTACATCTTTTACTATATTTAATTTAGGAACATAAAGAGTTTATGTTTCAAATTAGTTGTTAATATTTGATTAACATTAATAATAGTATATTTATCAGTAAAGACACACATTAAATATAAATATAAATATAAATATAATAGGAAACTGTGAAGTTTATTTAAGCTAAAAAGGTTATTTAAATCAATAGCGTTCTGTCGTTTAAAAACACGAAGGAAAAGACATATCATGTCGTTTCCTTGATGGACTTGTTTTGAACAGTGACTTAATTGGATAGCTTGCATTTGTTTAGCAAAACAACTTACAAATCAAGGGAAAAAATAATACTTGAAGAAATATTAAAAAATGATTTCTAAATTTAATAAGCTTAATCCTAAACTCTGCTGATTAAATATTAATGACTGTTAATTAAAACTGTAATGTTTGATAATGTTTTTTTTTTTTTTTTTTTTTTTTTTGAAAAATGGTATAGCCAAAAATAAAAAATAAAAAAAATAATAATAACAACAGTAGGAAAAACTCTGCTGCACAAAATCAAGAAGAAGGAAAAGAAAATAAAATGGCAAGCCAAGTACAGACCAAGGCAGCATCTCAAGAAGCAGCAACTTGTCAGAATTTTATTACCTACACTGTTAAAAATGGTCCTGGAAAAGTTATCGGACTCATCCTGACATTTGTTCTTAGTCATCTTCTGCACCATATGCTAAGGCCATTGTCTCAACCTCGCATAACTTCTGATATTGTTGTAAGTTTTTCTAACTTTTTTCTATTTCTTCGAACTCGAAGGATAGTTGTTATCTAATCGATTTTGACAGGAAATGCATATTTATAGAAATGATAAGTTTTGTTTAGGCTTCGTATTGTAAAAGTTAGTGTCTGTGAAATGTTTGTTTCGTGCAGGTAGGGATGCTTATTGGCAACATATCATGGGTTCGCGATTCGTTCGACGAAAAATTTATAACAACACTAAATTTCGTAGCAGAGTTTGGGATGATTTGTTATATGTTTGTATTAGGAATGGAAATGGATCCATATGTAATATTTAAAGCACCAACTCAACCTGCTATAATAGCCTATGCAGGAATGATATCTACATTTATATTAACTTGCACTATAACCCCATTTCTTACCTACTTTAAAACTACAGACCTAGGCTTAACCCTTTCCCTGTCAATCACACTTTCTGGTAGCGGTTCTCATATATTAACTCGAATCATAACGAATCTGAAAATAGGAAAATCAGATATAGGAAAGCTTGTAATTGCAGCAGGAGTGCATTCTGATATGATATCTATGCTTGTAGTTTCTATTGGATATATTTTTCTTTCTCCAACAACAAGAGCTAGTACTGATTTTTCTGCGCGATTTACAAAAGCCTTAACTATGGGTTCTGCATTGTTACTGCAAACGATTTTCGCTGCAAAAATTTCGCCTATTTTTATGAACTGGGTAAACAATGAAAACCCAGAAGGGAAACCTATGAAAGGCTCACACTTGGTGCTCTCAATTGCATTTATGGTCTTGGTTTGTACTGCTTCGCCAATATACGGATATAGTCCTATTCTAAGTGCATTCATGGCAGGAATTTTTTTACCAAGTGAAGGTAGAGTGTCAAAATGGGCAGTTGGTAAAATCAATTATCTATTAACAACAATTTTCTACCCACTTTTTTTCTTTTGGATGGGGTATCATACAAATTTTCGAAAATTTCAACCTGGACTATGGGGAACATGGGCAAGATTTTTCGTTCTTATAGCGATAGCACTGTTTGGAAAAATGGTTGGAACTGTCATCTGTGGTGCAATGTTAGGTTACCACTGGCGCGAGTCGGCTGAGCTCGGATTGCTCTTGACTGCTAAGGGTCATTTCCATATATTCGTGGCTATTCTTACGAGCATAGTAAGTTCTTGTATTTTTCTTCTGCAGAATTAGGATAAGCTAAACTTGACAGATGAACTTGATTTATCAATTTGTTAAACTTATTGCAGTATGATATTATATCTACTTCAACAAGTACAATGATGGTGATAGTTGTTTTCTTCACTGTTGTATATACTCCATCGATTGTTATGCGAATCATTCAAAGAGCAAGAAAACGTGCACCAACTCATCGAAGAGCACTTCAAGGGCTCGATCCAACAAGCGAGGTTCGAATCTTGTTATGTGTTCATGGAACCCATGATGTACCTGCAACAATCAACTTCCTGGAGATTTCTCGAGGACCGGCTGATCCTGGAATTTTGGTTTATATAACTGACATGATTGAACTAACAGAACAAATAGCTGCTACATTGGTGAAGAGTGATGGGATGGATACTGTTACAGTAACTGACAAGGAAGTAACAGATATGAGAGATCAAATAACACAGTCAATCCAAGCTTATATTGACGAACATGGAGATGGTATCAGTATTAGAAGAATGCTTGCTCTATCAAGTTTTAATACTATGACTCAAGATATCTGCGGTTTAGCAGAAGACCTCATGACCAACTTAATCATTTTGCCATTTCACAAGAATCAAAGACCAGATGGAACTTTAGATGGAGGTAATCCAGGTTTCCGATACGTAAACCGGAAGGTAACATTGCAAATTTAATTACTATTTTGTTCATAAAGTCTTCAATGTTAAATTTCAATGAGGTGTAACTCAATTTAACAAGTAAAATAATCAATTTTTCACTTGATTATGATGGTTCTGGCTTGAAATAGATGCTTAGAAATGCTCCATGTTCAGTGGGGATTCTCGTGGATAGAGGTCTTGGATTGGCAGAGAACATATCAACAATGGCGAGATCATTCCTTGTAGCAGTCATTTTCATTGGCGGCAAAGATGACAGAGAAGCACTAGCTTATGCAGGTCGTGTTGCGAAACATCCAGGAGTAAAGCTCACCGTTATCAGATTCTTGCTCGACGACAATCCAGATAACAACTCAAGAAGAGCTGGGTATAGAGTAAATGTTGCAGAGCAAGAAGCAGAGATGAAGCTAGATGACGAGTGTTTCGCTTATTTCTACGAACGATATGTTGCAGGAGGGCCTGTATCTTATATGGAGAAGCATGTTGCCAATTCAGCTGAGACTTACTCAACTCTGAGATCACTGGAAGGGAATTATGCACTAATCATCGTCGGACGAGGAGGGAGAGTGAACTCAATATTGACAGTCGGGATGAACGATTGGCAGCAGTGTCCGGAATTAGGTCCGGTTGGGGATGTGCTTTCAGGGTCTAGTTTCTCACAGAAGACCTCTGTTTTGATCATTCAACAACACCATCTTAGAGGAGAACTAGACGGTGTGGATGATGAGTTCTCTATCATGTAAATGTCTAGTGTGAAATAGATCAAAACAATTTAGGTAGGAAAGGAAAGAACCAGAATACTTGTGTAGAATATATAGTTTGTAGAATGGACAAATACGCAAGTCAGCAGTGATAAGAACTGTAATTTCTTATTGAATGAAAAGGAAGGATTTTACTATGTGATTATTCTCTAACATTAATTTTCTTTTCTTTGCAGCTCCAAAACATACATTATACTTTCATTTTTCTTCTGAATAATCACAAGTTCTGCCCTAGTTTGTTATTAGGGCAGACCGGAGTAAGTAACAAGTTGCATATAAACATGAAGATACGGTGGTTCAAATCCAAGGAAAGGTTTAATAAGGTCTCGTTAAGACAAACAGATCAGGATGACATAAGTTGATTAAAATTTGTCACAATTAAAATTTAACATTTGATCATCTCCTACAACCCATTACTTAATTACAACCAGCACTGACAAAACCCATCCCATTACTTAATTACAACCAGCACTGACAAAACCCATCGAAATCATTGTCTTTATCCAAATTGCCATCAAACGCAATCAACTAATCCGCGAGCTAGTAGTACTGAGAAAACTTCGACATCTCAGCCTACAAGCAGAAATTTAGAGGCATCAAAATAAAGTTTGAAAAGAGCATTTTGTGAGCTAAACAAACAAAGAAATTAATAACAGAAACTAGGAAGTGCATATTAGTTCTTTCATTTTCTCAAAATGTATGCAGACTAATATCAAATTACACCACAATATCCTCTAACAAATTACATAATTCATATATATTTAATATCCTCTAAATATTCGTACCAATTAGTCAATAGTCTATCTAAAACAAGCAGATTAGTGTCACCTAAAGTAAATGCAAGAACACGAACCAAAACATAAGAATGCCCAATTGCAAATACAAGACCGTTGAAACCAAAAGCTATATCATGAATTGTATTTTATATGAATTATGAATCCCCAACTAGTAACTATACCCAATGCCAATATGCTTGTGAGAAAAGAGGCAGCAAAACTCATCATGATGAAATAGTGCAGCTCCTGGCACCACACTTTTACTACAAAGAACTCATCTTTATTAAAAGACAAAATTGCTAAAGCCAGAGGCGTTGCATCACTAAAACTAAATGCAAAAGTAACAATTTCAATAAGTTAGTTCATTGTTAATAAAGCTACAGCTGAATGGTAACTTTGTCCTGCAAAAATTAGCAAGTGTGCACTCACAGTAAAATTACATTGTAGTTGTCAAGTAGCCAGTTGCTGCTAGCTAGTCATTCTAAGAGAAATATATAAAATAAATCTCAGGCAGAACTCCCCTTAAGATTTGAACTTAAAAACTCATAGAAATTGTATTGCAGCAGAACTATCTGAGCGATGTACAATTGTATACCATTCTAGCAGACAGTAGGAAATTTGGTAGCATAACTCAGATCTAACCTTTCCAAAAGATGTACCTAGATGATACATCCTAAAAGAAGCATCTCAGAACAACATCTAGGACAAGGAAGAACAAACTACCCCAAATAAAAGACAATTGTATACATTTTAAGGGGGAACCAAACTTTGCGCCCAAAAGGACACTCAAAAATCTAGTATGAACCTAAAAACTTTGTTAAGTCTGACAATACAAATGCATGCTCGAAGATGAAAATAAGTGTTTATGCCAAACAAAATCTTACATAGATGATGTTGAATATGGCATCATACTTGAACATAGATGTCACATAGCATGTTACATATATGCTAGCAGGTTGATTAAACCAGAGTAAAATACTAAATTATAAAACATAGTAATTAACATTTAAAAGTACAATACCCTCTGGATTGCTAAGTTGGTACTCAAATGCGTTCTTCAAATGGTCAAGTTCCTTGTCTAGATCATTGATAGCTTGGTTATATACTTGCTTGGCGAAGACTGGCTAGTCGTGTGAATCTACAAAAGCACGTCAAAAAGATTACAACTTGAAACCCAAAAATTGTTATAAAGAATTCCATCTAGATTCCCAATTCACCAAGTTTTGAACTAAAAAACTCCAAGAACAAATAAGATATGCATCCGGCCATAAACTGTTTAATCTATTTCACTTATGCTAATTAAGCATGAACCGCCGAAGGACAAACTGACTTACTACAAACTCATTTCTAATGAGAATCGGAAAAAATATCCATACCCATATGTATAAACGAGAAAAGCACTAACCCTAACAAGGATTTTATATTGGAGAGGATAAGGAAGCTTGTAGCCTGCAAAGAGAACATTTTCGTCTCTTGTGCAACTGTCTAATTAAACCAACCAAAGACGATAAAAGAAATTAGAGTCTGATTAAGCTCAAAGTTCAGTAAAACAAAGAAGAGCAAGCAGCAGCATTAGCTATAAATACATGCGAAGAATGTTTCCGATGGTGTGGTCCTCTCTCTCAATAGTGAACGACGACCGTCATTAATTATTTTAGTGTCTCATCTTGTACGACACACAAAAAAAAAAAAAAAAAAAAAGTAAGCTTTAGAAGAAGAGAAAAAAATCGCCGGACATGGTGAGTTTCAGAGTGGGAGAGGGTTTTCACGGGAAATATCGGAGGAAGGAAAATGAAGTTACTTTTTGGTGCCTTCAGGAACAACGAATCGCTCATAACGGTCTCGGTCTTTCCTTTCTCTCTCAAGCTGCTCTTTTGTCTGGGTGTATGCACTGTGACCAGTTGCTTCTGTTATAAAACTGAAGCTTTTTGAGTACAGAGTCCAGATGGTAGGATGAAAAACGCTCTATTTCAATGCGGCTCTATTCCCGTCGTCTCGTACCGAACGACCGACTCGTAAAACGATGTCGCTCGTAGCTTTGGGAACAGCGGGCAGTAAACTGAACAGGTAATTTTTTTTTTTTTTTTTTTTTTACGAGTGTCGCTTCGTAGCTTTTTGGAACAAGCGGCAGTAAAACTGATACAGGTAATTTTTTTTTTTTTTTTTTTTTCTTGAAATTAGAATATACAGAATCAAATTGTAATTTGTAGTTAATCGTCAACAAATTTTTAAATTTTTTATTAAAAGAGTTACAAACTTGAATGGTATATTGATTAGCCTTATTCATGAAATTTAAACTGTTTTTTTTTTTTTTTTTTTTTTTTGAAATTAGAATATAATCAATTGTATTTGTAGTATCTCAACAATTTAAATTTTATTAAAAGAGTTACAATTGAATGTATTTGATTAGATTATTCTATTGAAATTTAAACTGAACTATTTATAAAAACATAAAAATTTATTCAATTTATTTATTCTCCTCTGGAATATGCTTCAAACTATATCCCGAAATTTAGTGGTTGAGTTATCATTAATTCCCATTCTTCTTTGATAAGCTCATATAAGAAACAAAATTAATTTATTTTCATTAATCAATTAATCTAACACTTAATGCAAAAATTCTGATAAATCAAAACTAGAAAGACAGCCAAGATTGCCACAGCCATATCCTTAGAATGCACATGCCTTAGCTCAGAAAACGCAATTATCACATGCCACGAGTGATTCCTGCACGTAAATCTGGGCAAATCTATCATGAAACAAAGGAAATTCCACAACCAATAAATTGCACAAACGAAGATTTTGCCTTTGAAAAAGCCATGGACTAATTCTAAGTTTTTAATAACAAGGCAAATGCCACTAACATAATCAAAATCACTAAGACAAAGCATGTTTATGTAGATGCCTCAATACAGCATACAGAACATTGGGAAGAAAAAGCTACATTTGCTAGATCAATTATGCATTAAAAATACAGGGAGTATTGGAAAAGAAATAAAAATAGAGACTGCTCCTTTGAAATAATCTCCGGTTGTCCAGGATCATTTCTTCATGAAACTGAGTGAACTGCCCCAATGAACAATTCTTTGAAGAAATATCTATCAGCAGTGATAGAAGCAACCAGAAAATATTAAATTGAATCTGTTCAGTCTTTGAGGAATGGAGACTGGTACTTCACCTCTAATATGGAAGATGTCTCCACATGTGATGATCAACAATTGCCAAAAAGATAAACATTCATGTTTTTGTCCTCTTTTGCTTTTGAGGAACAAAGCGAACCGCTTGCTTCCCGAGTTCCAAGGTTTTTATTCTACTGTCATCCAGAGTAACAGATAATGTTGCTGTGCCTCCAATAAAGTCGGATACCACTCCCTTATGCCTGCCCAATGAGTCATCATCAACAGCCAAAAAGAGATATAAACCCAAAACATAACCAAAATTTCCAGAGTCATGACACGAAGGGTTCTAAAACTCATTTCCATCTCTATATAACAGCAAACACATTTTCCTTTTAAGTACAAGAATGGGACATGCATGCATACATGCAGACTCACTGGGCAGAGGGCAAACAAGTCAAGGAGATGCAGATAAGTTTTTGACCATTGAGGATACAATCCTCTCACAGCACCGAACTCATAATTTCTGTTGTATTTAAAGAACAAAGGAAACATCCATCAAGTTGTTTCCTGCTGCAGAACAAAACTAGACGAGTGATAGTTAGGAACAGATCAATTCTACATAATCACTGGTCTACACCTTCCTATGTTAACTCCCAAAACTCCAATACTCCCTTACCAATCTACTTCCTATGTTCTTTGCTACAACTCCATAGCAACCTCCTCCCAAGGAGAAGGGGTAAAAAGGGAAACTCACCATGAGTTATCAGATGGTTGATGAACTTCAACTCTCTTTCCAATAGCATCTTTACCCAACTTCTTCAATATCCAACTAGCTTCCATCATCTCACTGTCTTGATGTGATTGTGTGGCATCTTCATCTTCAATAAAAGATGTCTTCTCCAGCAAGCTTGACGGTCTCTTTCTTTTTGACCTTTGACCCCTTATGGAACTCTTTTCTTCCTCAGGTGGAGGTTTTCGAGAATACTGATTTAAAATATTAGGTTTTTTAATCTTTAACTTCAGTGAAAATTTGGAATCTTTCGGCAATGATTGCAAAATAGGTGTATCACCAGAATCATCATTGCTTTCAGCATATGTCTCAGGCCTGACTTCTGGTTGCTTCCCTAAACCTCTCAATGCAGAGACTTCACTTACAGGCCCAACTCCAGTCCCACTTCCATCTATGCTTCTTTTACCTGACGAGACACGAGTATGATCTGAAGGGACAGTTTCATATCCATCTGTACCACTTCCTCTCTCAAATTTGGGATTTAAGTTGGAAGTTTCAGGTTTCACTTTTCCAAACTTGATAAAATTTCCTTCCTTTATTGGAAACTTCAAACTTCTTATTTGGCCAGAGTGATCAACTGTATCTGCTACAAGTTGTAAAAACAATTCATGTTAGTAGTAATAGCTACAGTAACATCATTTATATATTCCGGCCATGGCATTATGGCAGCATTGGGTCAAAATTTATCAATACAAAAATAGACAAGCGAGATTACCATCGCTAGTGCCTTCATGTCTATCACCTGCAAACCTGACATTCATTCCATGTTGGCCTATATCTTCGCTGCCTGCTCAAGAAAACTGATTAATAAATAAATGGAATAGCAAGAAAAAATGAGACTAAGTGCATATGTTTAACAATTATAGTGACAAGACAGCATCAACAATGAATAAAAAATACAAATTATCGAACCTCAGCTTGCTTAAATACACTATTTTTATCATAATAATCCATTCCTAGTTTAGTAAAAGTAGTCATATGACATACCATTGGAAGTTGTCAAATCTTGATCTCTTTGGTAGCTTGAAGCGTCGGATCTTGGAGAATTAGTTACATTTATTTTTCTTGCACCTAGATTTATAACTAACTTCTTAGCCTTCACTGATTTTGACTTGTTGGTCTGTTTTTCAGTATCATCCCCACTATCCAAATCATGAGGTTTATTACTCTTAATCTTGACAATTCTAGACGTCTTTTCTCCATCACTCACCATTACCTCATCCACAAACTTATGTTTCAAAACCCCTGGCTGATTAACAGAGCAAACTCCATCAGCATAGTTTACAATCCCAGCAACCGGAGAAGAATATGCATTTGGTCCTTTTTTATAAGGCCCGGCGTCATCACTAATGTCATGTTCATGTGGTTCTGCTTTACTAATTAAAGAAGCCTGAGAACCTTTTTTCTTGGCAGATATCTTACTTGATGATTTCTTTCCACATTCCTTGCTCTTCTTCGGTGACTTATCAACTAACCCTTTGAGTGAGAGCTTTAGAGAACGTCCAAATTCATTTTTTACCATCACAGAACCATTTTCTTCATCATCTGAATAAGGTGAAATAGAAAATATGTCTTCTTGAGTTGGCAACCCTGCAGCAGCCCTCAAGCTTGCAATTAAACCTCGATCAGCTTTATCTCGTCTTCTCCAGAGTTCTTGAACAGCATCTTCAAGATCCTTTACCTGGTAATGTAAATTTTGTTTAATCATTTAAAAAGATATTTAAGAAGAAGAAGCAAAAGCACTAACAGCTAGAAAACCTCAGCACACACCACATCACTAACAGACATAAGCAAGAAATAGATCCCCATTTTTAACAAACCTGGTAGCTCTCTCCCCGACATGTAGCACATTTGTACTGGAGATTTCCATCCACTTGAAACTGTAGATATTTTTCATCACTGCAAGAAATTCGTTTAAGAATAAGTTTTACTGGCATCACAAAATCCAAGAGGACCAAGACATAAGAAATAAATAAAACTAACAGAGCCATACAAGCAACAGAAAACTATTATGCAAAAATCTTCTTTTTGGCAAGCAATTAGCTTATATAGATTACATTACTATCAATCTCAAAAAAGCATAAAGCCACTAGTCTCCACTTTAGCATTGAAGCAAAAAGTTAAGAGAGCATGCTCGGAAGTCATTCCACAAAAAACAATATAAATACTTCATAGCCCCAGATATGTGCCAGCTTTGTCCCTGATTTCTCTCGGGGCTCATTTGCTTCAAGAATTGTCAGATTTAGTCCAAGACACATGCCATGCTTTCTTGTTATATACAAATGAGTCCTCTAACCGCAGCTCAAATTGACACTCAAAAATTCTCTTTTAAAATGCATCATAAATGGATTATAACATAGCAAACATCTATCTTTTTCATGTGGCTCTATAAATGTCATCGCTCACAGGTTAGGCTATCCAACATGAGGCAAAGCCTGTCCTTTCTCATATTTGTCCACAACTAAAGAAGGGTTACTTGCTAATTAAAATTAAAAGTCTGTGTACGTAGAGACAAATTGCTCAGCCACTTCAAAAAAAAAGACTAATAGATGCAGTAAAAATAAGGTGACCCACAGCTATGGCATGTGAATAAGCTAACATTACATACACCAATATAATATTATCCATCACCATCATGTATCAAAGACAAACAAACATGTGCACCATTGATTTTTCACACTCAGTTCTGTTTATGAAAAAGGGATGTGAAAAAGAGCTGCAACAAACCTGATGCCATCACAACTGCAATGCACCCAGCGCTGGCAAATATCACAGCAGACCATTGGTGTTGACTCTGAATCTCGATAAACCTACAAGGTCAAGCCAATTTCATCAAGTAAATGTACGAAAAATCAGGCTACAGTTACACAGAAAGAGCGTAAGCTAACACTAAGTCCATGTCCAAATAATTATCAATGAGAAATAAATATATATTATAAAAACGACTGATGTGTTGTCTTGAACAAAAAACATTATATTTACACCAACTCTACCTGATGATTGATCCTTTAATTCTAATCATCATTAATACTGAACTAAAAGCAAGTACGCGTTAAGTAAGTCCACAATACCTTCAAACAAACAGGGCAGTAATTTCCCTTCACAAACAATCTTCCACAAGCATCACAGCACGTGTATCCCAGAAACCACCTGAAAGTTTTAAAAGCAAATGATAATGAACATGACAGTAGAGAAGATAAAATCCTTGTCCCAATTATATAGGCACATGAACTACAGAGATAAAGTGGCTCGTCTCATCAAGCAGCCTCTCCTGCCAGATTAATCGGGTGTTCGAAATCAAGGATGTGCATCAAATTTGTTGGTTTATTCACAAAATTCATCCATCATCATCATCATCACAATCATGTATAAATTGCTTAAGGTATACAAACACAAAACCAAAAGGATTGAAGAAATTTTCATTCACCTCCCGTTAGAGACAGTTTGACATCCCCCATTAGATATAGCAATGAATGGCCCAGCTTATGAGTTACAAAAGCATTATACTACTAAAGCAAAAGTTATTAATATTATCAAGAAACTATATCAATTACAAAGCACTATCTATCTTAATAAAAGTACCATTTTTCCCATTTCAATGAGTAATCACATAGTAACAACAGTATCCAAACATCAAAATGCACCAAGACAGCTACATTTATGAGCAAAGTCTCTCCAATGCTGATCAATACCTGACACTTAGACCATTTCCGGGGACAGAAGATCCACAGCTGTGACACCTTGTATGTTTGGGGCATAAGTATGGTCCAGAACTGACATTCTGCACCATCAAGATATTGACTGTTAATAATGCTATTTCAACTCAGAAATGACAACTCATACAGGAAAACATATTCAACACCTCACCTTGTGTGGAGGATGTTGGCAGTAACAATGGTACGCACCATCACACCTTTTGCAAAACATAAACTTATTTGGATCTCCAGTTCTTCGGCATATCTAGTAAAATCAAAAGGCATCAACGTTTAAGAGCAAAACCTATTGAATAAAAACATCAGGAAAGCTGCCACTAAACGGCAGCAATGCAGAAATAAATGAATATGTCTGGGCAACCTTAAAGAATAGCACAAGTAGAACAAAAGCCAAAGGCTGACGTGCCCAAGCTTTTCAATAGACACAATAAGCAGACGGACAAAAAGCCATATGTTGACATGTGCAACTTCAGTAATAGATTATTTGCTAAGAACAAACAAAAATGTAATTAACTACTAAGCTCATCCATGAGTACCTCGCAGATTCGACAAGACGGACAGGTCCATGAACTCCAGTGAAATAAATCTGCAATAAGCCCTTAAATAAGAAAACAAAAGATTTTTGCAACTTACAAATTTTTAATCTCCAACTGTTACCTCTATTTTGGGCCCATGACTTCAAACAGCTTCTATGGTACTTCTTGCCACAACTTTTGCATGAAAGCATCCTCCTTGCCCTTTCACTTCCTTCAGTTTCACCATTAAAACACATTCGGCACATTACATTTGTGTTGGATAGCCCTTGCTCATCTCCAGTTATAGAGGCAACCTGAAATTGAATTTGTAATTTTGATAAAAAAGAAATAAAACTAAACTTTGCCAAAGCTGCAGTACAAGCTGTCAAACAATAATCTAAAGTGCCCTTTTCCAATCTCTAATGATAGTACATAAGTAAAGCTGCGTGTATATCTATAAAAGAATGAAATAATAAAGGACTTCAAGCGCCACCACCTCACCAACCACCACCACAACCACCACCAGCAGATTATATTTACACACATCACCAATATAAGTTTACTCAACAGTTAAGCATACATAATTAAATAAGTTAAACACCAAATCGTCCTGAACTCTAAGTTCAACACAATCTGCCAATTACGGATAACATAGCTAGGAAATTCGGAGGTGTTAACCACCAAACCATTATAACGTATTTGTAGATAAAATTATATGCATCCAGAGACTCAATTACCCACATTACTAGCCAACATATTAAAAGTCTAACCTCCCAAAATTCACCCTACAAAAACACATAAAACAATAACTAAATTGCAAAACATCTCGTAGCACATTATTAAAATGAAAACAAAAAAATGACCAGTAATTCTCACCGCCATATCACCAGACTCAAAACGGCGGGCATAATCCTCAGCAGCGACCATAGCAGCAGCGGCTTTTCTCTGAAGCGCAACACGTTTCGTCTGAGCCGAAGCCTCCTCTCCCAAATCACCACCAGCACCAGTACCAGCACCAGCGCCACCACCACCGCCACCTCCATCTCCTACCGGAACAACACCCAACGTCGGCAAAGAAACCGCCGGAACCGGCGCAACCTTAGGAACAAGGACCTGAACAGTCGCGTCCTTAGAATCCCTAATTCCAAAAGGATCTCTCAAAAACTCTTCGATTCTCGAAACCTCGAACAGGAACTCAGCCTTGGATTTCGCGCTGTGGAGATCCTGCGGAAACCCTAGCGAGCAGAAGCAAATTCGGCGACTGCAAAAAACCAAAAAAAAAACCCAAAAAAAATGAGAGAAACAGAGGTTTAACGAGAAGAAGAGAGAAAGAAAAGAAGAGAAAGAGAGGGAAAAGAAGAGGTTTTAGTGTTAATAGTAATACACTAACCATGTAATTGGGCAAGCTACGTGAAAGGCCATAGTAAGGGATTTTGAATTTTTTGAGTTTTAGAGAGGGATTTACGATTTAGCGATCGCTCCTTAAAAAAATATATCTAAAATAAAATTAAAATTAAACTTCGGGCTTTATTTATTTATTTTTAATTTTTTCAATATGGTGAAAATAGAATTTCGGTTTTCCTTTTTTTTTTTTTTTTTTTTTGCCCCATATTAAAAGTCTAAACCTCCCAAAATTCACCCCTACCAAACCACATAATAACATACACTCAATTGCAAACCACTCATCGTATGGCAACATTTTTAAAATTGGAAAACATTAAAAAATGACCAGTTAAATCTCACACGCCATATCACCTAGAACTCAACAACAGGCCCGGGCATAATCCTCAGCATGCGACCATAGCAGAATTCAGACCGGCCTTTTTCTCTGAAAAGGCGCAACATACCGTTCTCTACGTCTGAGCCGAGACCTCCGGTGCTTCCTAAAGTTCACCACCAGCACCAGTCCTTAGCACAGCGCCACCACAAACCGCCCACCTTTTCCATCTTCAAAGATCATGACATTTAATGGAAGAAAAACTCATTTACACATATAAATCTCAAGAAATCATGTATAAATATCCTAAATATATCTAAAATGAGAATAAAGCATTAAACTTGAAATTTACTAACTCTCCGCCACCTCTTTTCCTTTTGATTTAGACGATGCACCTCCTAAATCAAAGAAAAAGGAACATTTTTTAAACATCTAAGCATGAACATAATTTTTTTAATGTATTAACATAATATATATGACATAAAATATATGGATCTAGCCTTAGTTTAAAAATAAAAAGAGAAGAAATAGAGAGAAAAGAAGTAGTAACATAAAAGAGTAAAATTTACCTTAAAAGCTTAGATTTTCTTAAAATAAATTATATTAGCTTATAGGCCATGAGGAGAGGAATAGCATATTCGAATATGGTGAGGAGTAGTTGAGTTTAGAGAGGGATTTAGGCATTAGAGTATTTGGATAAGGGTTAGTATTGTATGAGAGAAAAAAGAAAGAAAGATAAAAGAAGAAACAAAGATAAAAGAAGAAAGAGAAAAGATAAAAATGAAAAGAAAGAAAGAAGAAACAGTTTGCATGTAGAGGGGAGTGGATTTGAGAGATAGAATCTCTAACTTCACATGCTTAGAGCATGTGGTGCAATCACATGCTTTATGGTGCAACATGAACTTTCCTTTTCTATTGGCCAACGAGATTGCAATAAGATAGAATAGGTGATGTGAAGATTTTATTTAGATAAGATGCTTATGTGGCATTGTAGGAAAAATGAGAAATAAGATGAGTTGAATTTGTCTTGTAGTGGCACGGAAAGTACTCTCTATTTAGATTATTTTGTCTTTATTTTAGAATGTTTTGTTTTTTTTTTTTTGGATTTTTGCTTGTTGATAGTCACCTATTACCAGTTTTCTACGGTGGTTTAAAATAAAAATATTGTAAAAAATAAATCATTTTATTTAAATGATAAAAAATGAATTTTTTTTTTTTTTTTTTTTGCTATGCCGATCTATCTTCTGTTCCTTTGATGGTGGATGGGGTTAAGGCAGCGTCTGGTTCATTTTTAATGCGTCGGGTTTAGATTATCTACGGTCAACCCTATTGTGATAGGAAATTGACGTGCTGGCATTCTGGTATGTGGGACCTACAAGAACTTAATTACCTGTCAAAACTTGCCATCTCACACCAGACCTATGTGCTTCGAAAATTTTATTCGGGGTAAGGATGCTCATTTTACCGCTTCATCCACTCTGGTTTGATTTTGTTGTTGATAGTCACCTAATACCAGTTTTCTACGGTGGTTAAAATTAAAAATATTAGTAAAAATAATCATTTAATTTAAAATGATAAAAAATGACATAAATTATTTTTAGGAATATAAATGATATAAATTGTTGAATTAGTTGAATAAGAAAAAATATAATGCATATGGTTATAAAAAAAATTAATTAATATTTATAAAAAGCTTCTTCAACCTTTAAAATATATTATAAAACCTATTATAATACTATATTATCCAAAAGTAATATTAATAAATATAAAGTTTTGATTTAATCAAAACTTTAAATGCTAGTTCATAAGTTGTTGCTAAATCGGGCCCCGGATATTCAATCCAAATGGAGTAAGCAAAACTCAATCCATTTATATTTTACTACTCTGACTCGAATCCGGTCAGTTATTTTTCTTTTTTTCTAAGTAGGTTTATTTCGATTTATTTTATATACATTAACTCGACCATTTAAGAACCTCAATCCAAATTTGATAATATCTTACTTAGGGTTGTTACCAATAGAAATTATATTCTGTTGGTATATTGTAAAATCTAATTTAAATCTAATCCATGATCATCTCTAATTAGAAGACCTATTTTTCGTTAGATTGTAGTCATTCTTAAGTAGCAACACATTGATTTATAGGTTTTACAATAGTTATGGTTTGATTTCAAATCAAACCGATGAAATTAATACTTGGATTATATTTTTTTAAATCAAACCAAAATCAAATTGTGCATCAAATTGAATTGAAATGATTTAATTTGTTTTAAAATAAATTTAGTTTATTTTCCATAACTAAAACAAAATTACCTAAACTATAAATTGGCCAAATCAGTTATTTGACACTCAGTTATAAAAATTTTCGTTCATACTTATTTGATAAATTTAACAAGTGAAATTTCAGCTTGCTTACCGGACTCATTTAATAAATGAGCTAAAATTTTGAATTAAATTAATTAATTATTTTAGTACTTTAATTTTAATTGAAATTACTATTACATCTCTATAGTTTTAAAATCTCCAATTTTAAATAAGACTATTAAGTTATTTAGTTATTTAATTAAAATATTATTGTTTTTACCGTTATCGTGAAAGACTAAATAATGTTTAATAATAAATATATACAGTAAATAGTAATATTATATTAAATATGAAGGATCAAATTATCAAATATGCAAAATATTTAATATTAAAAATAATACTTTATGATAAAAAAATTATCATGAGGTAAAATATAATATTTTTAATATTAAAAATACTAAGATAGAATCATATTCACATGAACAAAACCATCCAATTATATATAAAGTGCAAATTTTTTCTTAATTATATTTTATATTAATAAAATACCAGGAAAATAACTAACCCAGACCAACAGATTTATCCTATACACCCAATCCTATGATCTATAATGTTAAGCAAAAAAAAAAAAAAAATGGCAAGTTCGATAGCTAATGTTTATACAATGATTTTGGCTAATTTAAAGAAGAATTACAAAATGATAATCTCATTGTACCCTTGAAGAGTCGATCGTAATAATTGGGATATGAGAAATTTTAGGCCAATCCTCAACCTTGTTCCTTCTGCATCTTTCCGACAACTGTGGACAATTCTCAATAGTTAAACGCCGCAATGAGGTAAGGTTGCTCATCCACTCCGGTAAAGACATCAACTTTGGACAATCTTTGATTTTGAGACTACGCAAAGTGGACAAATATTGCAGCCACTTTGGCAGAGAAACCAGTTCATCTATGTTCCTAATACAAAGAAAATTGAGACTTCTAAGACCTTGACATTCCATTTCCAGTATTCTTGGGCAAGAAACGATATATAGCTTGCTCAGGGAAGTGAGTTTTTGCTGCAACTTCCCAGGCAGAAATGCTCCATCATTAATTTCCTGAATTGTTAATTGTTTCAATTGAGATAGAGGAGGAGAAGAAGAGGTAGATTCTGCTCCTGAAATGGTTGATTCTAGTAGCTGGTCCAGTGGCTTCATGGTCTTACCTCTAAAATACAGATTTTCAATAGATGGAAAAGGAGGCAATGAAGTGAGGTTAGGACAAACACCTATCGACAAATTGGAGAGACAATGAAACTTAGGGAGTTCTGATGTTGATGTCAGGGATGATGATGAGATTGTCCCTCTAGTGTCTTTCTCACATCTTCTCCATCCCTTTAAGTTAGGGCATTCTGAGATATCGAGTAGCTTCAGAGACGGAAAACCTCCATTGTTGCAACTTATACCACTTTCTATGTACTCCAGATTGGTTAACTTGAAGACTTTTAAACGCTTAAGAGAAGGGAATTGATCAAATGGAGGGAGACATTGAATGTTTTTGCAGCTATTCAAACGAAGTTCGACTAAATTTGTGAGGGACGAAAGCCAACTTGATAACTTGACTCCTCTATAGTAAAACAAGTACAGGCCTTTCAAATTCTGGTGGGGTTGAAGCACTTCCAATGCCATTTCATCATTATCAATGTCCTCAGCAAAGTCTTCATTACCATCTTCATTTCCCTGTCTTTTCTTCCACCATAATTGCAAGTACTGAAGGTGTTGCTTCTCTTTCAGATTGGCTGCACAGAAGTCAAGTTCAGGATTTTTCACATACTGCAAATTTTGGATGGATAGCTCTCCTCTCAAGTTGTTCAAGTCCTTTAATTCACTGAGCCTAGCACCGCGTCCACGCTTGTCCACTGTGAAAATTGATAATGTCTCAAGGCCTGTCAGTTGCCCAACCCCATGAGGCATGTGAGTCAAGCTCCAAGAAGCAAACAAGCTAAGATCAGTAAGGTTAACCAACTTCTTGATGTCTTTAGGCAATTCTTCAAGTTCTTCACAGCGATCAACTTTAAGCACCTGTAAGTTTGGTAGTCTGGAAATCGAATTAGGAAGCTTCTTCATTGAATTGTTATATGAAAGATCAAGATACCTTAGAAGCTCCAGTTTATTAATGGAGCTTGGCACTGTCTCAATCCCAAGGCCATGTAGGTCTAAAGCTCTCAAGCACTTCAAATTAGAAAAAATTAAACAGCATTCTTCCTCTCCAATCACATCCTTTAGTGATTTATTTACAAAGAGAAATGTCCTTGCTTTGCTTGCTTTAAGCAAGGAACGCAACTTCTGCCTTGTGAAGTCTGAATTAAGATCCACAGATATATGCCGAGTTCTTTCATCAACATTTGAATTGGATGAAATTAAAGTGCTCCCAGCTTCAGCCACCGAAATAGCAAGATCATGCATTAAATCATGCATTTTGCAAGTTTTTATATTGCCCCTGTCATCCTCTTTCACTTCTTGAAAAAATGACCTCCAAAAGAGTTCCTTAAAATATTGAAGGCCAACATCTTTGAGACTCTGGGTTGCATTTGATGACCGAACAAATCCTTGCGCTATCCACAGCTCTATTAATGTCTTTACATTGATTTCATAATCTTTTGGAAATGATCTACAATAAGCAAAACAATGTTTCAAATGTGATGGGAGATGATTATAACTCAACCTCAGAGTAGGTAAAATATCATTTTCTGGTTGATTTATGGAAGAGAGTTCTTTGTTCATGAAAGATGTCCACTCATCATCATCTTTCAAATAGAACAGGCTCCCTATTGTTTTTATGGCTAAAGGAACTCCCACGCACTTCTTCACAATCTTCTTTCCAGTTTCTTCTAGGCTGCGACTTGGCACTTGCCCTTTCTTGAATCCCACTTGTTTGAAGAGCTCCCAGGACTCAGCATCTCTCAGGCCTCCTAATTCATGAAGAAAATCTGATCTTGCTATTCTTGCAACTGTCTGGGAACGAGTTGTTATTATTATTTTGCTTCCCTTTGCACCACCAACTAACAAATCCATCAAGCTAAACCATCTGTTAGAATCTTCATTCCACACATCATCCAATACAAGTATAAACCTTTTTTCATCAATAGTTTCATGAAGTTTCTTTTGCAATGTGTTCATCTCAAGGTTTTCAAGTTTTTCACCCTTCACATCTTCTAAAATTTTTTCAAGAATTGATTTTGTATCAAAATTCTCAGCAACACAAACCCATAATTTTAGCTCAAAATGATTTTTAACTTCCTTGTCATTTAATAGAAGTTGAGCTAGTGCGGTCTTCCCCAATCCTCCAATTCCAACTATTGAAATGACTGAAACATTCTTTACAGAGTCAGTACACAACAAAACCTTCATAATGGCTTTCTTGTCATCTCCTCTACCAACAAGATAACGCGAAGAGGAGTGAGTTTGCTCCCTTTCCCTAGTGATTATGGCAAGTTTTTCTACAGGACGCTGTTCCAAGTGAAACTGTCTGTTTTTCGCAATCTCATCTAATCTTTCTCTGATGGATTTAATCGTATGTGCCATGTCAAGACCATAAGCAAACTGATTTGAACTTGAAAAGAAAAGGGTTACCTCCTTTCCTATTTTACTGCCAGTCATCGTTTTTTGCTTAAGAGCCTCTGTTGAGAAAATATCCAGCAAGTCTTCTGCATCATAAACAGCCTCTTTGAGCGTCCCAAGCCAAACCTCGACTTGCCTACTCTTTGAGTACTTCTCCTCCGCATCAAGAAGCACAGGCTGGATCATGGAAACAGTGCGCTTGAGTTCCTGAAGCTCATCCTTGACACCCCACCATAACCCAATCTCCCGGAGGACTGTGGAACTCAACTTGGTAATGATTCCATCAACAATATTAAAGAGGACAGCTTCTGCCATTTCTGCTGAGATAGCAAGGATAAAGCTATTAAGAAGGTACAGTTTGGGCTTGTAGGTTAGAGATTCACAAATGATATTTTATTAGATTAGTTTCTTTTTATTCATATAATTTGTTTAAATGGTCAATGTCGGTAGGCAGTTTGGCAGAAAAAAAAAAAATTAAAAGAGCAAGGCAACGATTGTCTCTTGTAGCTTATTTATTATTGATTGGTTTTTTCTTTTTTTCAAAAAGAAAAAATGAAAATGGCAACTCATTATATGCATATTTTTAGCTTTTGGTTGATTAATTCAACTAAATTTTTTAACAAATTGATTCACTATATGTCATTATCTGCATAATTGTTAGGATTTCCAATCAAAGTATGATTTTTTATGTTTACCCTGTCAGAGTTGAATAGCTATCGCATGATCCTCCAATGGTTAAATGGTTCTTTTTTACAAGTATACTAAAATATACTGATGAGATAATTGCAATTGCAAGAAAGGGCCATGGTTTTATTGCCAAGACTCATTTTCTAAAGAAAAAGAAAAAGAAAAAAATTGCAAAGGGGATAAGTGAGGTAGAAAATATTATATTGTTGATTTCTGCTTTCAATTGAATCATACAGGAGGTGGTGGCAAGTCTAATAAAAGCCAAAATCCTACACAGTCCTCTGAATCTAGATCCTCTTGAATGGCAAGAAAATGTAAGCCTCCACAAGCTTTTTTAGCTGCTTCCCAAGCTTCAGCCTCTGCTGTTGTTATAGGAGTTTTCTTGTAAGTAGCTTAAATACAACGGGTGGGAATTCCAACAGATAGAATCAAGCAAGCACGAGAAGTGTCTGCTTCAATTGAATACACTTCCAGTCCGTTCATCCAGGTTGTAACAACACATAGAAGGATTTCAACTTTAAATGGATCATTCGATTACCGAAATATCACAAACTCTAATATTTTAGAAGAGAAACACATTCAAATGGCACAAGTATTCTGAGATTCTCATTTTTGTTACTTAACAATTACAAGAACTCATAGCAGTAGGATGAAGAGTCAAATTTGCTTTGTATTTTGAAATTAGGATCAAATTTGCAATTCCAACCAATGTGGGAATGACATCAAAGGCCTTTTTATCCAATTGTAGATCAAGATTTCCAACAAGATAAACACAATAAGTTGCTTCAGATCATCATAACATGAGAAAAACCAACATTCATGCATGTGAAAATAATACGGAATATTAGCCATCTTTGTTTTGCACTACTTGTCTATGCAAACTTTGAACTCGGTTTCACGTAATTAAAAAATTTATCTTTGCCAAATTGAAGTCAATATTGAATGCAACAGGCATTTAGACATTGCAAATTGACTGGAAAAATGGAATATGAAAATAGCATCAGTTGTGTTCAGACTACAGGAGAAAAATATTAGAGGGAGTATTAAACCTGCCAATGGTTTAGCACCTGAAGAGGCAACAGCAAGTCCTGGAATCAATGTCTTGTTACTGATTTCAATTCCGAACAGATCCAAATCTAGACTTGCACCAAACATAAAACTTGTTTCTAGTGATGAGACTTCCTCTTGAACAGCTGAGTAAAGGAAACTATAATCAGAATAATTGATATTTCAGTGCCATTTTAGAAATACCAAACTAATAAGGTATTATATGAATATTGGATTAGCTTCTCAATGTGGCTTTATTCCTCTATTTCCTATAAAGATTAATTTTTTTATAGGGAGTTGATAGTTTAACCTTTACAATATTATAGAAAAATGACTGATGCAATGTAAATGCCATCCTTGCAAGGAAAATTTCTAACTTTTGACATAATTTACCAGTTTACATTATCACCCAAAATAAGCGTTTATAAACATCATTGCGTGTACCTGAGAAAGGTAATTGAACAAATGCCCATTTTTCTCCAAATAGGTTCTCAGGAAATTCCATTGGGAAGGGATTATCCAAAGCTAACAGTGGTTTAGAGCCCTTCTGAAAGCCAGGATGGCGGGTATACACAGTCTCATATCATTCTTCCAACCATAGAAGTAGTGACAGACACTGTAAAATAAAGCAAATATGAGTCAGGACAATCAATGTGGCACTTTAATTTGGAATTCAAAGCATACTACAAAGAGCAAACTAAAACGCGAAAGGTGACTACATAAATTCAAGGTAAGCTCAAACATATGGATGCAAACAAGAAGTGAATTAGAGTGAAGTAATTTACATCATGGCCTAAAAGGAGGAGACAAACTCGCAAAAGGAACATAATATGATAGATTCTAAGAAACAATAAATTGACATCTTACTCTCAGCAAGACCATAAATTCCCTGCATCTTGCACTCCCAAACACATGGAATCACAAACAATGTTCAAGGGTAGTCCCCATTTTGTTGAATAATGATGTTCTATTTCATATGCATTTGGTTCTTTAAACGAATCCTACCTAAATGCTTCCTGCCACCAAGTTACAAATGGGAAATTGTGATATTTTTAATTGTCCAACCTTAAATGAACAATGCCAATTATACTTTCTAAATTATCGCAAGGTAACTATAAATACGTAACAGCAGAAATGAATTCACTGGTTCTCAGTCAAACCTAATTAAATTTTAACATTGAAAGAGTTAATGATCCTATTTCACATTTTATAAGCTTGACTTCATTGGAAAAGGAAAAATGCCATGAAAAATAAACCACACACCCGTTTACTTGGAATTGGCTTTATATCCAAATCTTTGCATACCTTTGTTATGATTGTGCATTTGTGACCTACAAATCAAAAGCAAAGAAATAAACCCATAAACACTAACCAACCTTTCAATAACATAATCCAGAACAGGTTATTTGCAAATTAATCACCATAAGAATCACCTGAAGAAGCGGTTTTTTTCTGGCAAAGGAACACCAAGATCCTCACTGATGGACAAAATAGTATCCTTTAAAGTAATACTATTAATAACATTATTAGGGAAGTACTTTGTATATTGAAGTGAAAGTGAATCATCACACACAACAAGCTCCCAGACTTTCTTGCCTCTAATATCCTATATAGGTCTTGAGCAAAAATCCAATTCCCATTCAATAATGCTTTCTGGATCAGTTTCTGGGTCAAGATAACTCATCTCTGCTGTTGGGTCATCTTCTTCATAGTTCTCAACCTCCACTTCTTCTTGTGTTGAAACCGAGAGTTTGGATATTGTGTTGGGTTGGAAGCAGTGGTATTTGTGATTGGTTTTGGCGAGTTTTAGAAAGCAAGGCCAGGAAATTTCTGAGGGTTTTGAAAAATAAGTGATTTTGAAGATGGGTTTTTGAGGAATTCTAGTAGGATTGAAGCTAAGAGTAGCCATAGAAATGGACGCTCTGTGAAAAGAAAATTGAAGATGGGTTAGTTTGTTAGTTACATAATCACCACTCGTATCCTTTTGGCCATTATGGGCTGGCATGGCATGGGATAGGATTTACGGTCCTTGAGGGATTTTGTAGGTCCTTTGTCTGTTATTAAAATATGGGTTATCTATTTCACCCAAAAAAAAAAAAAAAATGAAATAAGTGATTTTGAAGATGGGTTTTTTTGAGGAAATTCTAGTAAGGATTTGAAGCTAAGAGTAAGCTCATAGAAATGGCGCTCTGTGAAAAGAAAAATTGAAGATGGGTTAGTTATGGTTAGTTTACAATAATCACGCACTCGTATCCTTTTTGGCCATTATGGGCTGGAAATGGCATATATGGATAGGATTTACGGTCCTTGAGGGATCTTTGTAGGTCCTTTGTCTGTTATTAAAATCTGGGTTATCTTTTTCACCCAAAAAAAAAAAAAAAAAGGGTGTTTAACCTAATTTGACTGGTAATTTAAAAAAAAAAAAAAAAAAAGGTTACCTAATTTGACTGGTAATTTTCAAATATTCATTTTAATTAATTAATTTTAATTTTAAAAATTATATATTATAGGTTGATGTATTTATTAAGAATAGTTAGAGAATATCACATTGTCAAATCATATCTTTTACTTAATTTTTAGAGAATATTATTTATAAAGCTATGCTTTTTTACTATTTAATTATTTATAAGAGAAAAACAAATTACTGAATGAAAACCATAAAAATCATTATAAGAGAATATCATTATTTACATTTTATTTACTATTTTTTATTTTTTATTTTGTAAAACGAGAAAATGGAAATCATTAATAGGAAAGCAAAGCCTAAAAGCATTCATTTAGCGTTGATACTTGATTTAATTTTTGCAGATAAAGCTTAAAATAGACTGCTTTGTCTGTCTCCAACCTCTTTCCGAGCTCCTGTTCACACCCAGAAGAAGCAAGAGCGGCAAAGCTCCTAAATTTTGCAGCTGTCGCTCTATTCCTTCATGTAAACCCTAATTTCCCTTTTTTTTTTTTTTCATACACAATTCACACACAAATATATATGCAATATGCTTGTTACGTGTGTTAACTGTTAACAAGTATGTAAAAGCGGTGCTCTGTTCCTGTTTGATAAAATGCCTGTCAGAATCTGATGCCCATAGATTGTAGTTGATGCCTATCCTTGAATGTGATGTATATTTACAGTCTCTATAGGTATAGTGCTAGTTGCCATTGCAAACGCCTTGTTTTCTAATTGATTGTATGTGTAATTTTTAGTTTTACTCAATGGATAGGTACGTAAAGGAGCAAGCTTTGTCTGATTAGAGAGATGGTGAAGTTTACTGGATATTCTTTAGTAACTTCTTTTGCTCCATTTCATTCTGTTATTCTTAAAAACCATCACAGATTATCATTAAATTTACGTCAGAAGAATTCAGCTAAGTCGAGAAGCCTGTCTACTTGTTCTCTCAAGTGTCAATTGCATGCAAAAGCTGAGATGGGTGCAGGACGCTATCTTCCTCCTTTATTTAGGTGGGTATGCGCATGTGTCAGCTTTGTTTGCTCTGCTGCATCTATATTCTAATTTTTGGTCGCTTAATTTCCAGTGTTGCTCCAATGATGGACTGGACGGATAATCATTATAGGACTCTTGTCCGGCTCATATCAAAACATTCTTGGCTTTACACAGAGATGCTTGCAGCTGAAACAATTGTCTATCAACAGGGAAATTTGGTATGTTTATTAGATGTGGAAGATGAATCTTATTTCACTGGACAATGATAAAATGTTATTATGAAGGCAAGATCTGAACCCTAAATATTGCAATATTTAGGAGATGGAAACTAGGATTTTGTGATGACTGTTGAGGTTGGTTATGAAAACCTGGAAACGTCTTATGTGATTTATTTTTGCTACGTGTGGGGTCTATGATTGGATTTGGAGTTAGATAGATGGGTTCAGGGACATTCATATAATATTGCATATGTAATCTATTTGTAACAAAGTGAACATGTGGTAGTAGATATGTGTTACAAGCAGGGAATATAACGTTATGCAGGCATCATTTTGTCTTTTGCTTATATTTTTTTGAAACATGCAATTTTTCTAGTTTAAGCTTCCCCTTTTCCACCTAAGAAAATAGGTAGTCATCCTTTGCATCTTATAAAGGAAGAAACCTTCATTTGGTCTCAAGACTTCACCTATTCTTTTGTTACCATGATCAATATAGGTTCTGTTCCTCATTTGATGAGAATTTATGTTATTGACATGATCGTATTTAAAGATTTATAATTGTGTGTTTCGTGTTTATTTTGCTCAGGACAGGTTCTTGGCATATTCTCCTCAACAGCATCCCATTGTCTTGCAAATTGGAGGAAGTAATTTGGACAACTTGGCAAAGGCAACTGAACTTGCTAGTGCTTATGGCTATGATGAAATCAACTTCAAGTTAGTAGAGTTCATTTGCTCATTGCCTGATGATTCTTTTGCTTCTATCCAATTTTCTTTTTAGCTGAATTAAGGCAATTTCTGTCTATTCTTTCAAAAAAACTATCAGCTGCGGTTGTCCAAGTCCAAGGGTCGCTGGGCATGGGTGCTTTGGTGTTCGTCTTATGCTTGATCCAAAGGTTTGATACCTTATACAGATTAAATTATCACGTGCCTTTATATTTTCTGTCTTATCTAAATGTGGTCTCATATATTATTTGGCGTTTACAAGGAAAGTTTGTTGGTGAAGCTATGTCGGTGATTGCAGCCAACACAGATGTTCCTGTTAGTGTTAAATGCCGAATTGGGGTAGACAATCATGATTCGTATAATGAGCTCTGTAAGGTCCTTTTATCTGTATTCTTTGTCTCTGTGTGGTTAAAAAATTATTATGTTCTTTGAATCTATATTTCCTTGGAGATTTTAAATGAAACAAGGTGGATATTTAGAAATTGAGAAATTTTTTTTTTTTTTTATTTTTTATGCTCCACATGGTATTTCCAATAGTAAATTGCCATATGATCTGTTCTAGTTCCATAGTTCTATTGTTTATGTTGACTTTGAAAGGATGCTTGTCAACATCACAGCGACTAGTGGGCCTTAGGCCATGTAAAATCTATATGTTTACCAAATGGGGTATATCACCATGTCCTATACTTGTTGTTACTATAAGTTCTGAGACATTCTGCAGACTCTGCAAACGGTCAGTTGACCAATGTCATCCTGCTTAAGCTGGCTGAATAAAAAAGCATAGGAAAGGCTTCACCAAAAATCTGGGTACAAACTTTAAAAAGGTGGACAAATGACAAAGAGAACAGGATACTAGCAATTGTGTTTGGTCTTTAACCTTAGCTTGTCTAGTAGACATGTCAAGGCCCTGACATAAATCCCATGTGCCTATATCGTCTTGCTATTTTGTTCATACACTTTGTAAATAGTAGTTATTTGTAAGCCTATTGGACTGCGGAATGGTTAGTGATTTAGCACGCATGATATTGCAGTGCATTCGATTATGAATTGCTAAGAGTGCTGGAATTATTTCTTGACTTTGTTGTTTTATTCTATTTTTCAGGTGATTTCATCTATAAGGTTTCTTCTCTGTCCCCAACTAAGCATTTTATAATACATTCACGAAAAGCTCTACTCAACGGCATCAGTCCAGCAGAAAACCGAAAAATTCCTCCCCTGAAGTATGATTTTGATAATTAGAATTTTTATTGATTTTTAACTTAACTAACTTGCATGTTACCAAATACCAAAGCTTTAGTAGTTTGGCTCAATTCAAAGTTTACCATTCTGACAAATTCTTCTATTGTCTTCATGACTTTCAACCACAACAATTTGTTCCTATCTGTATTTTGTCCAGTTGACAATTTTGTCACCCTACTGCAGATATGAGTACTATTATGCCCTCTTGCGTGACTTTCCAGACTTGAGATTTACTATAAATGGAGGCATAGATTGTATTGATGAGGTACATAATTGATGATAAATAGTGCAGTATTTTTTCTTTTCTCTTAAAAGAAATTGAAATGCTGATTATCTTATTGTAATGAACAGAACTGCTTTATTGATTCCATAATTTCAAATATTTCTTTGGACATTTCAAATTATAGGTAAATTTGGCACTGAAAGAAGGAGCTCATGGTGTAATGGTTGGGCGTGCTGCCTATAATAAGTAAGTATAATGCATAATCTTGAAGTTTAATCACTGTTTACTATATAAGCAATTTTACATAATGATAAGAGACATGTTTTTTTGATTATTAAATTTATCAGACATATTTTTTTCTGATTATTAGTATCTCTACTACATAAATAAACACACATATTCATCTGCTTGCATTTCCTTTTATGAGTAGTAAATTTGATTTAAAGCAAAAGGGGGAAGGTAAAAGTTGATGTGGGAAAATCAACACAAAAAACTCCAGATGAACATCACTGGTCTCTTCACTTATACCAGGCTGAGAGGTGATACCAAAGAAATAAATTTTGAACAAATATAAAAAGGCATGAGAGTGTAAAGGAGGCAAATGAGAGCAAATAGACCTTAAAATTTTCTTTTCCTTGTCTTGAAGTATATTCTTGATGTTAGTGCAGGAAAAGCAAAAGGATATGATCACCTTAACTGGTTGATCTTTCTCTGGAGTTCTTTACAAGCGCCTTAAATGGAACCATATGGCCTCCTTTAGGCTCTCAGAAAAGCATCAACCAAATTTAATTGTATTAACTCATACTTATTGACTCGATGTTCAATGTCAATTTCAAATGGATATTATCACAAGATGAGCTCCTTTTTGATTTCCCTCTTTTGAGGCCTTTTCTTTGCATTTCATAAATCCCTTCTTCTGTTTTATTGCTGTTGATGATAATTAATTGATTGAAACATTTTATGCTTTTGAAGTCCTTGGAATTTGCTGGGACATGTTGATTCTGCAATTTACTTTGAACCAAAGAGTGGTCTCACACGTCGTCAGGTTTGATAACTGATTTGCTTTCCACTTGAATAAACTTTGAGTATTTTATCTGCTATTGACATTGTCTTACTCTTTGATTGATGAATAGGTCCTTGAACAGTATCAAGCATATGGGGATGCTGTTTTGGGAACCTATGGAAATAATAGACCAAATGTCAGGGATGTGGTAAAGGTAAATTATGTAGATTAACATTATGTGTCTTTTGGTATTATCTATATAACCTAGTAATCTGGAGACAGATAATTGGGTATTCTTTTTCCAATTTACCTATTTTCTCATCATATTATATAATATAATATATATCTTTAAATATTGCTGCAGCCTTTGCTTGGTTTCTTCTATTCTGAGCCTGGAAATGGTCTGTGGAAACGCAAAGCTGATGCTGCTTTCCAGAATTGTACAGTATGTCAATCATGATAAACCTTCTTCTAACATATTTTTTTCCCTTCTGATCTCGAATGGAGCTTGTTTATCACTAAAAACCATTCAAACATTGTTCTGTTCTTATAGACCTTTTCTTTTTACCGAAATGTTACTTATAATTTGACTTTGCAGACAATCAAATCCTTCTTTGAGGAAACACTGGTAGCAATTCCTGACTCTGTTTTGGATTCACCAATTGCGGAGGTACAGCCTGGTCGTCAAGATCTTTTTGCAAATGTAAGAGGGTTGCTCCCACCACCATATGAAACAAAAGAAGAGGAGTTAGCATATGCTTAGACCTAAGCAGTCTAAATTCGTAACTGGCATTATCTGTATCCCATGCTATGATCATACACATATTCTTTCTAATTTTTTGGATTACCTGATCAATTTTTAACATTATGTATCAAGTATACTAGGGGATAGTCACGGAATTTATAAGCTCAGGTGATGAGATGCTAAACTACTAGGCGTGTATTGCTAAATGCATTTAGGATAGGATACTGATTTTCAGATACATGTATCTAAACTGATATGAGCATCTCATTGAGCTTTTGAGCTGAATTTGTACAAGTGTAACATGCTGATAATTTAGTTACACTGTTAATGAAGATAAATGAGCAGGTTCAAACCTTTCTCTTCCCTTTTTTTTTTTTTTTTTTTTTTTTTTTTTTTTTTTTTTTCTGAATTTGTACAAGTGTAACAATGCTTTGATAATTAGTTTTACATCTGTTAATGAAGATAATGAGCAGGTTCAAACTTTCCTCTTCCTTTTTTTTTTTTTTTTTTTTTTTTTTTTTTTTGTGTGTGTGGTGTGTGTTATATAACATATTGATGAGAAGTCATTTGCAAGTCTGAGGAACTTTCCTACAATGAAAAGTTCTTCCCACTTGGATTCCTCTGTGGGGTCTCTAATAAGGAGTGGATCCCATATTGTGGCGTCACCATTTTGTGGAGGCTTGGGAAGAATTCCACATTTTTAATGGTCTCCGACATTCCGCTTTCATGCCCCAAAAGCCAAGTGACCTATATCATTTCTCCGTTAATCCTAAGCAAAGAACTAAGCAGGACAACTTCAAACGCAACTAGTATCTTGTGACAGGTGCATTAAGTTGTGGAATCAATATATCTCTATGGGGATAAGATTACTGGATGAACTACTAAACCTTTCTGCCAACTGAGACTCTCCAACTTACCTTAACATCTAGCATATGAAAAATAAAAAAAGATATATACAGCAACTAAAAGCGACTCATCACTTCGCCTATCCCACATTTGCAGGAAATGGCTCAATCACTCATGACATGCCTCATTTCTTCTCAGCAGCACCACCTCTCGTTAACAAGTCTCCAGTGACCACGCCACCGAAAACACTTGTTGTGGCAAATGCCGCAAGTGGGAATTAAAGTGGAGAAGGTTAAAGATGGATTTGATGCTAAAAAGAGAAGCAGCAAGTGGAAGGAGAGACTTGATGTTGTTGCTTAGCTGCAGTACAGCTTGCTCTCTTGCTGGTGTTGCCAATGGCTGAAGGTGGCCCAAACCAGGAACCCCCGAAAGCCAAGAAATTTTTTTTCAACCAGTTTGTGTTAGCATGCCTACTTAGCTAAGATTTGTTCATAAATGAACAGTTTCTTCTGGGTTTAGTTGGGTTTTTTAACTTTCTTTTTTTTTTTTTTTTTTTCAATCAAATGTAATATATAATTTCCCAATTGTTAATGAAAATAATAATGATCTTACCAATGTTGAATCCTAACCTTCAATTTCATGTTAGTTAAAGGGTCATCAACCAGATGTTATTTCCTTCCTAACAAAATATCTATCCACATTAACACTGAGGTCAAAATTTATTTTATTGAAAATGTTAATTATAAATTTCAGATAATATGGAAACAGATTAATTATAAAGAGTCTTCTTAACTAATATCATTCTGAATTTTTTGCACATTTAGAAATTTAATTCAACAGTAAACTTTAGTTTTTATTCGAATTTGTTAATTTTAAAATTTAAATAAATAATTTTTTTTAACTAACAATTGCGGTTAAATTTTGAGTATTTCACAACACCAAAAGAATAGTCAGTGTAATGTGCCATACACCCTGACAAGAAATCTAGATTTGACATTTTGATCCTCAATCCTAAAAAAAAAAAAAAATTGTTGTATTTTCAAATTTATATACCGAAGAGTTTGGAGTGTGAAAATTAAAATTTGATCAAGATGGGTAAACAATTTTTCAATTAACATGAATTCATACTCAAACCTCTCCATATATTGTGACTGAAAATCTATTTTAATATTTTATATTCAAACTAATATATTATATTACACTAGCAGCAATTCATCAAATAGAAAAATTTAAAAAATTAATTTGTGTTACATAAATTTAAAGTTCACTATAGGAAATTTTAAACCATTTTATAGTATAAAATTTAAATATACTGCAAATTCAAAATGTCTATTTTTAACCGCTAAAGTTAAAAAAATAGATTTTTGTTGAACTGATAATATTATATATCGTTCAATCTCAAAAAATATATTGAAAGTGGTATGAAAATTTAATTATAATAGGACTAATTGAATTGTATAATATTTTTATTTATTCCAACGCCTAAAAAAATAATATCCATTAATTTACTAAATTCTTCCAAAGCTTTCAATAAAATTACCAATTTCAGCCGTGACTCTATCTTCTGCAATAAGCCTCGAGTCTGGACTTGGTAAATCCACGCAACCACCAGCCACAAAAACCAGACGTTCAATTCAAAAAGCTAACGGAACTATGTTTACTCCTCTGAGACAATAAAGCCGTCCGATACTTTCATCATGGACTTCTTGCTTCAAATGACCATCGCCAGTGCTTCTTTGGAAATTCTCTTATACTTTCGAGTCCTCTCTTTCTCATAATCAAGCGACGATGAAAGCATGATAATCTCGGTCAGTCCTCTCACCGTCGTTCACCTTTATCCTGTAGCACCTCCCTCACTTGTTTCCACTCATGCGAGATCAAAAACTAAGCTTCAAAGTTCATTTTTTTTTTCTGTTAATTTTTGGTTATCTGTGAATCTAAAATCTCTCTCTTTTTTAGATTAGCTAATTTCTGATTGTGTGGATTGTGTTTGTTTTGTTATTTTAGGTATTGGGATATTCTTCCTAAGGTAATTTGAATTTAATTACTTATTGATACAAAAAAATGTTTCTTTGTAAATTCATTATTGTTTTGCAAAAGAAAAAACCCTGAAATGTTATTGTAAAAAATCACTTGTTTGGTTTAATGGTTAATTGTAAAAGCACTTGGTTGGATAATGCTGCTATGTAATAATAAGGGTATTTAGGCAGAATTAGTTGAATGTTGTGGTTTGAATGTTGTGGTTAGTAAAGTAGTATTTTTAGTGAGTTAAGGTATTGACTATTTTGATCCTTTGCTGATTTATTTGAGGACTAGATGTAGTTCACAACATTTATTAGATTTCCAAGGGAGCTGTTTTCTTGGTATGGGTGTTTGGTTGATAATAGATTCATTATGGGATCTTTTTATCTAGAATTGTATATATAGGTTTTATGTACCAAAATACCATGCCATGAAACTCAATAATTTTATTATTTTTCTTTTTGCTGAAGGGAAAATTATCCTCCCTCTTTTTAACTTCATTTTAGATGATCATGAATTTCTTGTAATGCAGTTACTTTTGCTCAAAAACATGAGGTGCGGCAGGTTTATGTTCGAAGTACTTCTCGAGTTTATGAAATATATTATGCTTCTGAGTTACAGAGTAGTGATGAGTATCTATGTACTGTTCGCTGTGGCATTGCTGTTAGAGGTGAAGAAGTGCTGCATGCAATTGATGTTGAAGAAACTGTTTCGGCACATCAGAAGGGCTCTACTAAAGAACTAGCTGAAGAAAGACACAAAAATGGCAGTAACCTGATCACCAGTGAAGATGATTGGGTTGAAGTGAAAGCTCTCAATACTCAGCTTGTCAATGGGAACAGTTCTCCATTGTCAAATTCTGATACAAGTGAAAGGAGAATCTCACAGCCACAGGTATGGAATTTGCTCTCTTACAGATTCATGAAATGAGCTTTTTTTTATCAATTTTTCTTGCTGGTTTGAATTCGATGGGTTCTTGTAAATAGTTTTCTTTGCCTTTATTTCTTTCTTAGATGTTTGCAAACCACTACCTCCCTCCTTGTTAACCCCGGAAAGCACAACAGTTTTAATTTTGGTCAATTATCAAGGTTTAGTGGCTGAAACATTATCTAGATATAGATGCTATCAATGACATTGAGGCTTGTGGTCTTGTTTTTAATGAATCAACAATATAACTTGCTTCTTCTGCTTGTATGTTTCAAGTTTTTGCCTCAGCTCTTGTAACACAGCTGTTTGCTACTGATTCTTTTACATCATTGAACCTCCCATCTGCCCTTGAAAAAATGTTGTGGCAGGATTATTTTTGTTTTATTGTCTCCTGCTTTCTGCAATGTTAGTTCTACAGCATCAGAATGAGAAAGAATAAGAGTTAAACTATGCTGACGTGTAACTGCTCTTTTCTTCCTTCCCAAGGATGATTCTCTTAGCTGGCTTCCCTTTCCTGGTATATACCCAAAATGCCCTTTGAGTATCAGCTATGCGCTCATCAGAATTCCATGGGTTCTTGTAAGTAGTTTTCTTTGGCTTTTTTTCTTTCTTAGATGTTTGCAAACCACTACCTCCCTCCTTGTTAACCCCGGAAAGCACAACAGTTTTAATTTTGGTCAATTATCAAGGTTTAGTGGCTGAAACATATCTAGATATAGATGCTATCAATGAAATTGAGGCTTGTGGTCTTGTTTTTAATGAATCAAGAATGTAACTTGCTTCTTCTGCTTGTACGTTTCAAGTTTTTGCCTCAGCTCTTGTAACACAGTTGTTTGCTACTGATTCTTTTACGTCATTGAACCTCCCCTCTGCCCTTGAAAAACTGGCGTGACAGGATTATTTTTGTTTTACTGTCTCCTGCTTTCTGCAATAGTAGTTCTACAACATCAGAATGAGAAAGAATAAGAGTTAAATAAAAAGAGTTACATGGAGTTATTTATTTGACAGCACTAATAGCAATTGGTCATGGAAGTTTGATTAACATAGATTTGTCATGTTGGTTTGTAGACTAAAAAATATTTTTTCCTTTTCCCTTTTCTTTAAAATGCGACAGATGAATGGGTAATTTGGACTTAAGGAAAAGAATGTGTTTTGAAATGAAAAATAATAACTGGATGAAGCATTAAAATGGTGAAGCAGGGAATATTGATTTTGAGCAGAAATTGAGCATTTTGAAAAAGAAAGAAAGCTGAGAAGGAAAAGGTTTATTTTAATAAAGCTAGATTAAATCATTAAAATATTAAAGCACAATTGAAATCTTCACTTCTTTTATCCTAATAAATTGCTGATTGATTGAAATTTCAGGATTTTTATGAGGCTACGGCAGATGTTGAAGATGCAAATCCATGCACATCCATTACGTTGAGGCTACTTTCACTTCAGAATAAAGGTTGCATTTGTATTGATGAAGTCTACGTGTTTGCTGATCCTGTTGATGCAGCTGATTTGGATAGCAAAGTGAGTCCAATGGAAAGCTCTTCTGGAAATTCACTTATGGCTATG